CAGCCACGGTGAACGCAATAATAGCTTCAAATTGGTGAGGTAAGCTGTGAAATTGAAGAAGGGCAGCCGAGTTGCAAAAGCCTTAACGGACCTCGGCAGATAATACTTGAACTAATTCAACTTTAATTAGTTTATTCCAGGTATCAAGGTTTGAAGAACACAATAAAAAAAAACATATTATACCTTGGTATTGATTGCATGAGGGAACCACTTCCTCCCTCCCCTGTGACAAAACATGTGTCGTCCTATCTGAGAGATAGGAAGATTGGTTTGGGGGTAAAAAAAAAAAAAGTGGCTGAGAGGGAGCTAGAGATATAGAGGCATAGACTTTTAAGCCTAGCAAGGCTCAGTGGTTAGGCCCCGTCCCTCCAGTCTTCACACTGCAGGCCTGACTGCAGCCCAATATGGTAAGAACTTAATGCCACAAGGGACCCTGCCCATTTGAATGCTCAGGCTTTCTTTATCACAGGCACAAGTGGTGCAGAAAAATTGCTCAGGATTAATTCTGGACGTCTTGCAAACACACACTCAGCTGGGATCAGTGCTTTTAGCTCGCTTGGAGGTGGCACACTTTTAAAAAATGTGGGGCTTTTTACAGAAGCTTTTATAAACCATGGTTTGGGCCTTCCCATTGAAGATTTTCCTTTTGTAGGGCTGAGGGGGTTGCCTGGGTGCCTAATGCAACTTAAAATAGTGTTATAAGACATAATAGCATACATGTACAAAGTGATAAGGGAATTAGGGCTTCTTCTGCACATCCTTTCCAAAACCTTTTTTTAAACAGCCCGAAAAATGTAAAGAGTTTTATCATCGGTTGGCTGTGTACTGTGCTATGCCAGTGTATATCAACCGCCCGACCTCCCTGAAAAAGACAGTGTGTCGAAGGATTTGGGTGAGTGGGTGTAAGATAGGATGGAGTACAGTTGTTAAGTGGTTTTTCTCCGACTACTGCACTTCTTTCACTGTGCCCATTTACAACAGGAAGAGGAAAGATTCCAGCTGCAGCTACAGACCCTCCATGGACCCGAACTCCAAATAAGGACTGCGGATGACTGGATGAAGCCTGATAAGACTGGATGTAGACAGTTTATATTCCCCAGGAACCTCATGATGTACAATGTAGGAAAAAAAACTCTCCTTCAACACAGTATTCCAATCAATACCTGCATTATCTGTTGTAGCTGTTCAGTAGGCTATGTGATTCTGTTGTCACATAAATACAATTTATGAGAGCTAACCACTGGCACAGGCGTTCACGTTGAGCTATAAATATATGTCTCTACCAACGTTGAAGAATGTAGATATGAAGAGAATATTTATATTTATGCAGAGTTGAAACATTGATAAATAAATTAACAAATAAAATCACATCATTTTTATAATTAGCTGTTTCTGTGCTGTGGGCGATCAATGCATTTCACATTGATATAATATTTAAATATTCTCTCTGTAATCACACAATTTGAATGACGAGAAACACATTTAACAATTCCAAGTCCAGCACGCCAACTACACGCAACTAACTGTTTTAGTAATTTTTTTTGTTTTGTTCATTCATTTCCTGTGGAAGTTTACACATTGAGCTGAAAGTAAGAGTCTGTACTCACTCTGCAAAGGTTACCAGTATATCACATGTTAACATGTCCATTTCTGAACTCATTATTTTTTAAGGGCACTTTTAATTATGTTGGCGACACGTGCCAATTGTTGATATATTGATAAACTGGAAAATTCTTATCAATCACAGGTACACATACTGGGACCAACCAGCATTCAAGATTCACACTCTCTATGTCGTTCTAGAAGGCCATCCAAAAAACCACGACGCCACCATGAAGCCCAATTTGCAGGACAATTGTTAACAATGGACAGTACTTTAAGCAGGCGACCATTAATTCATCCACTGCTGTTTTCCACTGTCAGTTTACTTCCTACTCCAAATATAAACACACACACAAACAAAACAAGAATAACCTCTAGCAAAGCAGGCCTGAAGGTGAGCTGCATGTCACATACACACATACACACACACTGTCCCCTACTGTATCTAGTGGAGTGCACTTTGAGCACCAGTCCACACCACACAGCCTCCCCATCATGAGACCAGTCAGCATGAATGCACAGACAGATTCACACAAACACACAGTTCAGTAAACACAGACAATCATTCCCACCCCCATCACTTCTACTTACACACACACAATCACACACATGCAGTGAGGGCTATCAGTGCAGACATGCCCCTTCCCCTAATGCTGATGACACTGTTTTCATTTTGGTGGAGACAGTGCTCTGTAGCTGTGGCGATATGGATTCTTATGGCCGACACACTCCATTGGCCAGCAGCTTGCTTCCAGCCACATAGCTTTGTTTATGTGGAAAAGCATATCAAAGTGAATTACTATTGAGAGGTAGCTAAATCAAATATGTGGTGTGAGGAGAGAAAATGTGAAGAAAAAAAAAAGAAACATCAAGTTCCACATTTCAGAGTCATTTGCTCTTGAATGTTATTCTAACCTGTTAATAAAAAAGTGTTTTTTTATGAAGTAATATGGACATCAGAGACATTCAGAGCTCAGCTCCTGAGGTGAAAGGTATGGAAATGGACAGACTCATGAGCCGTCATGGAAAGCATAATTTCATCAGCTCCACCTCATTGTCTCAGTACAGCTAAGGGAGAAGGTCATATTCAAATTTCAGTTTTTCTGTATGCTTTAAAGAATAAGACGTAAGACAAGCTACTATTTTTTACAAACGAGGACAAGGGAAGGTGCGGCGTCCTTCATCCGCCATTAACAATGTTAGCTACTGAAGCATTCACTTTGGTTGTGTCATTATAATATTTCAAACAACCACTGAGGGAAAATAGGTTTAAATTCTAGAAGAAAGCCTAAGAGACTGGACTGTCGGAAAGGATTTGGCCAAAACGTATCAAGATGTTAAATTTAAATTTCAAAATCCAACTGTTGTATTTTATATAAATGCATCCAATGGGTGGCTAATTCAAATGTACTTCTCTTCACTAACAGTGAAGTTCCACCCTGATGGCTCACTGCTCTTGGAACTGATTGCACAACACAGTAAGAAGTAAACTTCGACAAAGACACAAATTCTAAAAGAAAAGAAAATGTGACCGCAAGAAGCAAAGAAGGAGCAGATGTCCAAACGGTGACCAGGAGCCAAATGTATTAAGAGCAGGTTGCACCCTTTGAACTTCCTGAGGTTGGAAGGTGGGTGCATGGAGCCGCCAGATAGTAAACATGTGTGATAGCAATCAAAGAGATATAGACTCAATTGTCTACTTCCATCAGCAAGAGAGGTTATAGTGAGGTGAATGTGGGTAAGTGAGGAGGGAGGAGGGGGAGTCCTCTGATAAAGCATCAATTCCCTAAGTGTCGGTCCTGTACCTTTCTAATCCAAAGACAGTACACCTAAAGCATAAGCGTGTTTGTCTCTCGGTTCTCCACAATCTTCCTCCTTGATTTCAGATGCTAACTTTCATTTTCATCTCCTTACGCCCTGACATGCATAATTCCTCCTCCAGAGTCAGGGGGTAAGAAGATGCCATTAGCTCGAGATACACAATCCTTCCCGACTATAGCTGGAAATTGCTGTCAGCGGGGCAGTCGGCCACGCCACAAGCTACAAAACAATGGATGGGCCTCCACCAAATTAAAGCTCCATAAATCACAAGGTGTTTAACTACGCTTCGTGTGTGGTGGCTCGCCTCGTCATTTCATCCTTCTCCATCTTTCTCCCCCCTTGAAGAACAAGGGGGGACTAATGACAGATTCATATGCATGCATCAACTGTAAGGAAGGAGCAGGGTTTATTCCCGTTTCATGAGGGGAGCCGGGATTATTCCGTAACAACGCCACATACAGGTCCAACTGCGCCAACAAATGCAGCTATTTAAAGCTTATAGCTGTTCTCAACAAGAAAGTAAGATGTTTTTCTCAGTGTGTGAAATTCACACCATGTAAAAGTTTTACAGGCTTCGCTCCTGAGCTCAAAGCAGTTGCGGATTATGACCAAAACGTTAAGGTTCTTTGTTTTTCTCTTTTATGCATTACAAGATTTTGACACCCTCAAATGTTTCGTCAATGTATTTAGAACAAAGGAAAGCCATGTATCTAATACGAATCTACTTGACATGAATAATGTTTCATTTTATAGTTACAATATCCAACACTAAAATTTTCAGTAAAAATCTATGTTCCATTAGTCTCTTAATTGATCCTTTAAATAGAGCTGCTTCCAACAGTCAGCAATAAAAATGAATGTAATTTACATTTATTCAAAAAGACTAGTTCATACGTGACGGGAGTATATGATCAGGGGTCACCAACCTCTCTGAAACTGAGAGCTACTTCAGTGACACTTGTTTGATACAGACTTCCCCAACAATGTATTAATAATTAGTTCTGGGACATACAACAGTAGACTCTCTTCTTACCGTCGTCATCGCGCTCATCACTGCGAGTGGAACTGATTCAAAAAGCACAGTAACAGTTTTCACATTACATTTTCTTTTTTTTTTCCGAATACTGTACAAACAAACAACCGAAACAATTACAAAGTGCAATAATCCACAGGATGACCAATCCGGTACAGTGTGTCTCTAAACACACAGCACAACAAGAAGAGATGAGGACAAAGCTGATGCTTCCAGCCTCTGATTGCCTTCAACTGTCTATTGTAACTGCTTCGGTCCTGGCCATTTTAAAAGAAAGTGAAATTGTCCATGCACTACCTCCAGTGTTTTGTTTTGTTTTTTTCCCAGTGGAAACACAGAGCCAGCAGTCAAAGCGGTGAACATGTCAGATAAAACATTTTGATAAGAAGAACAGAGACAATTTTAATATCATTTTTCAAGGGCTCTCTTGGTGCTTTTACAGTGGTCCTCATGGATTTTCAATCACTACTAACAGCAGTATTTGGTGAAGAAAACCAAGGAGAGTCAGACAATGATATTTGACTTGGGTTTGAAAAGGTCCTACCGTCATCCAGACTCCGGTCTTCTTCTTCAATCCAGCCCTTATTGCAGCTAAATGTGCCATTTCAGACAGAATGAGAGTCTTTGTGCTGTGTTCCCTAACAACAGGCACAAAATGACATTTCGTTACTTAAGAGACATTTGGGGCAGTCACTTAAATTACACATAGTCTGACAATTGGTTCGAATGCGGAATTCATTTTTATCGAAAATGGATGATGGGCAATTTTTTTTAACTCTTAAATCTCTCACTTTGGAGCGAAGAGGAGCAATTACACGCTGAATTGAAAACTACATCCAGGTGGGGAGTTCTTCAAGGTCCTCTGACAGAACCACTGCCATGAAGGTACACTACCTACTGTACGTACCTAACTGTGCTATCACACATCCAAGAAGACTCAATAAGTACCAAACTGTTCACTACTTCATCACTACATCAGTGGTTTAAATGTAAACAATGTTCAGCTCATTTAAAGCAAGGACACATACTATAGTAAATAAAACCTTCTCAGAAAGAGTTTCATGATGTAAAAGCATCTGGCTTTATTAATTAAAAACACGTTATTCTCTGGTCTGATTTTATTAATTAAAAACACGTTATTCTCTCGGGCGTCACACAAAGTTTTACATAACGTATTTTCTTAAATTAAACGTTAAACGTTTAAACATTGGTTGTGATCTAGCACAATTTTCCACCAAAATAAATGTATTTATTTTATCATTTTAATGTAACTTGATTTTATCGGACAATGCAAAGAAAGAGGTTGTGTCCTGGTGAAAAGACCAAGCTAAGAATTCAAATTTAAAAAGGAAAATTTACATGGAGATGAAAAATGTTTTGTCTATTGATGCATTAACTTTATATATACATTAAGGTAGTAATGTGCATTTTTTGCATGTGATGTCTAAAAACTGAGATGAAAAGAAACTAAATTTGGCTGGTAGAGTTTATATGCAAAGCTAAAACATTTGTAAAATTCACTGCACTATGTGAAGCCTTCATTTGGAAAACGGTTGTTTGCTGAGAAAATACGACGTCACAAAGGTGGGTGAACACGCAACAGCTAGTCAGTTAGCCAGTATGTCACAAAGGTGGGTGAACACGTAACAGCTACTCAGTTAGCCAGTTACACCAACCGGTGTCGTATATCCGTAAGAAAAACAAAAACAAAAACAAAAAAACAAGACTCATGCAAAACATTGGTATTTATTCCAAAGAGTCATATCTCACACACCATTAACACACCGACAACAATACACAGAGTTTGTAAAGAGCGCTGCAGCACAGCCGTTTACCTGGAGCACGTCAGCCGTTGACCGTCACCAATCACGTTCACCTGTTACCTGTAGAGGAGGGCGCTGTTGAGCAACGGTGCACACATCACTATATCAACTCAATTAGTGCTGCAATTGATTTCATAGACTTCCTTTCGTTATTGCTTGTTATAATTATCGGTAATCTGACAGTAACACCTACAGTATTCATGTGGTGGTCAAAAATGCAACATTATATCACATTGTTCTCTCTGCTTATACATAATGTAGGTTTACTCCAAGTAGTACATTTCCCTACTACAAAGACGTACAGTGTTATGGTAGATTTATCCTCTAAATTGTTGTTTGTATCTATATGTGGCTCTTTTATGGACAGGCCAACTGTCCAGTGACGGGCACCTGAATCAGATGATGACTGGATTGGCTCCAGCTTCACCCAAAAAGTGGTAGAAACTGAATTTATGTATCTCGACTCTAGGAACAGGTATTTCCTAAAAGTAATAATTAAAGTAAGTCAGTTTTACGGCATTCAAAGAATCCGAAAGTTTTTTTATATATTTTTAATGTGCAAAGTCTTAACTTATAAATCAGAGTCTAGTACAGTCAGATCTGAAAGGAAACTTTAGAGTTATTCACAGTCAGTGAGCCAGGATTATCAGTACTGAAGGCCTACGAGATCAGAATTTTGTTCTTTTTTTCACAATCCCCTTATAATTTTTATCACAAACATTTTTTTTTATTTCTTGTGGTAATAATATATTATATAGTATATTATACTTATACAGTACATGCCTTTACTCATAAAAGTGAGTTTAGATAGCACCACAAAAACACCTGACATTTACATGTGATTTATGAACAATTCTTAAAAAGCTATAATCCAAATTTGCCTCAAGTTAACAGGTGCAGACGTGAGACTTCTTCCAAATCCTTTGACAGAGCACAGAAATATCAGGGGTTTTTTTATTACCTTCAGAGGCAGCAGTGGGACACAGGCTGCATGAGTGCAACAGACATTAGACTGGCGTTGGGGCCCTGCATAAATCTAGCCTGTAACTGCTAAATCAATTCCACCTATTGTCACACAATAGACAGCATCAAGTGAATTCCTCCACAGTCTTTCTGTTGCAGGGAATAACGAGCTTCTAATACAAGACTCAGCACCATCCGAGCTCTGCGATCAAAGTCTCCGATAAAACCCAATTTTCTCGACAGTGTTTCAAAGATGCTGCGAAGGACCGGAGTTTGAAGGATTCAAATATAATGCACATTTTATTCCTTTAATTTTCTTCATTTTGTGAAACAACAAAGTGACGCAATACACGCTCTGGAGTGGTCACCCACAGCAGGAGCAGCCAGCTGTGTCTCTGCTCTTCAGCACATTGGACAACATGGAGAAGGAGAGTTTGAGAGTGGACTCTGTAGCGTGTCTCCTTCAGCTGTCTACAGCATGAGCACAGCTCCATCTAGTGGTGCAAAAGTGCAACGTCACCCACAGTGCTTGGCAAAGCGCGCACCTCTTCTGCACAAAAAGTCATCATTTTACATTACTTTGTATTATATACTGCATGCCTTTGGACATGAACACGGACCTGGGACACAGTGTGATCCAGTTACTGTGACGCCAGAGAAGGAACGGCGCGCATGTTTATATAAGATTGTGTTAATTTTGTGTATTGATTTTGTCTTCAAAAGTACCGTATTACTTATGACAGTTAGTCATTGTGCGTTCATTTAGATGGACGAGTGGCTCATACTAAACATGACGGCTGCATAATAAGTTACAAAAATATTTTCTATGATGAGTGCCTCAGCATGTCTGAGTATATTAATGGAAATCTAATAAAATTGAGAGGTAAGTGAAATTGAAAATGTTAGCAGAGAAAAACACAATGTCAATGACTATATATGTACAACATATATGCAATATAAATGAAAATATTTTCATTTCCTTCACCTAAAAAAGTTATAGTTTACTTTACATATATAGAATCTATATTTATATATGATACATATATATCATATTTTGTAGGCACAGAGAGACACAGAGCGTAAGATAATATATAATCTTCGCATATTATTTTAAAATACCTCTCAAATCTAACACAATAATAAATACAAGTATTTTACGTCATTACTCAAAACTTCTAAAAGATAAACAGATTATTTTCTCTTGACGTAGAACAGAATGCTTCGTTTCCTTAACCTGCAATTAAAAGAAAAAATCCTGTTTTCTAAAAAAGTCCACAAACTGACAGCCATTATTATACCAAGCTTAGATCAGAGGGACAGCCCAGTCGCCTGTTGTTTCTAGCCTTAAATCGACTGAAAAGCCAAGCCAGTGGTGCATATCACACAGTCATATATAAACAGTATACTGCCTCCATATGGGAGCCACTGTTTGGTAAAAGACAGGTCCTGCCTGTGGGGTGCACACACTTCTTACACACCATCTTCACCTTCTCCTATCCGCTGCATCCTAGTCTGGGCTTGCTGTCACTTGTGCTGCTGCTGCTGCTGCTGCTGCCACCACGTAACCGAAAAGGAATTTACATTTTAATAGGTAGAGCTGCCCACCGTCTCCCAATGAGGGTATGTGTTCAGGCAAACAGCAGGAAACGCACCCAGCTGCACGCTTCCAATGAACCCTCCAGACAATTTCTGGGCCAGGGAAAATGATATTTTTAAACACACAATCATATACATATATATATATGTATGTATATATGTATATATATATATATATGCTGTATATATATATATACATACAGTATATGTTGTGTATATATCTATATACAGTATATATAAATAGACATATATGTACACATATACAATTAAATGTACTGTATATGTATATATATACACATATATATACACACATATATACAGTATATCTATATCAGATACTCAGTGCAGACAAGAGGCAGAGCCCCCTGCAGCACAGAGTGGATGTAGAGAGCAGCAACAGAGACACAGTGGTGAAGCAGCAGCAGCAGCAGCAGCAGCAGCAGCAGAGAAGGCCTTGTTGTAGGCCCATGTGACCACAGAGCATGACGGTTCCATCACAGCTGTCATTAGGCACCAAACAAAAGGCGCATCAGGGTAGGGGGTGGGGGGGAGAAGAGGATGGGGGAGGGCGGAGGGCTTGCCGGGTTGCTCGTCACTCATGCTCTCTCTCTCACTGGACCTCTTGATGAACTGTGAGCCTGGCAGCACAGGGCGGAAGGCACACAGGTCAAGGAGGAGCCACCTCAGCACAGAGATCAGGACCACGCGATGTTGACCTTTTCAGTCTCATTTTAGGAACCTGGAAACAAAAATATCAACGTACGTCAGAGAAATAAAATAGAAAAGAAAAACATGTAAATGCAGTGTTCAAACATGTTTTGTACATCAGTGATACGTTTCATCGTGAACTTTAACCTTACACTGTATCAACCTTACTGCCCCGTTTGCTCTTATGGGGCAGTATGTTTTCTATCAAAAACGTTTAACGTTTATTTTTCACAGCTTCTCCGTTTCTCTGGTGTGTGTCACAGCTTTGGTTTGGCAATTAAGAGCCAAAGACCCTCCCCGCTCTAATTAATAACTATTGAACATGCCAACAACAATCAACACTAATTAAAATGTGTGCTTGTTGACAAGGGTACAAGCTTTATCAAAATACATGAGTGTGTGTGCTTGAGTGTGTTAGTGTCTGCGTGTGTGTTGGGGAGGGCTTAGTGTAGAGGGCCTGTGTTCTCCATAATAAGTTAACAAAGTGCCCCGAGCCACAGTTTTAATTCAAAACCCCACACAGCCATTGCTGCTCTGTGACACTGACTGTTGGCACAGGAGGCAGGATGACTCCCACAGCTGAGGAGAGATGGAAATCTGCACCGTCTGTGTGTGTGTGTGTGTGTGTACTGGGGGAATATGATGTGAAGGATACGATTTTTGTTGCAGCATCACTTGCTCGAACAAAGACCCACAGACCACATCCTGTGAACAAAGGACATGCTTTTGTCCTGGCATTTTATGTCTTTCCAGTTTTTGTCACATAACACTGACGATGTAACCGTCGGGCCAAGGATTTGAAACTCAAGGCAAGAAAAGAAAAAAAGAAAAGAAATCAATAGCATCAAGGAAAATATTTCAGTTTGCTTTTCATGATCTTCACAGATTGTCAAAATACAACTTACTGTCGCAAACGTTTATCTGTAATACAGTTTAGTACAATCGTATTTACTCAAACATGTTATTTTATGTCTTTTTCAGAATTCCACATTTGACTTTAAATATATTATTATGTTCCTTGTCACCAAGTTAAAGAACCAGAGGTCAAACTATGACCTCGAGGTCAGTTGATGACCCTCTGTATCTCCTGAGTATTGTGTAAAAAGCAGCTACAGGGAAGTGTTTTATGTCAGACTCATCTTCAGTAACACTACCCTCTGTGTCTTTACCAGTGACAAGTAGATGCTATAGAGGGCATAATATTATATTATCATTATTATTATACTACAAATGTCAACATATACCAGTGACAAGTAGATTATCATTATTATTATTATCATTATACTACAAATGTCAACATTTGAGCCAAATCCATTAGGAGCAACTTTGTTTTGTTTAGAGTCATTTTGCTTGGAAGTTAAATCTGATTGGTCCTCATTCCAATAAGATGCTAAAAATGGCTGTTCTTGGTTTGGGTTTAAATGTTTATGTGTGTGCTTGCCTTGAAAAAAAAAAAACAAGCCTGAGTGAGCTGCCACCTCAGTACTGTAGTACTACAAATTCTGCTTGGCTCAACAAAATCACAAGCCCTCAAGTTTACAAGTGACACACTTGACCTGGGCATGTTTTCCGTTGGCTGAAGTTGTGGGATCAGCTTTTTCCTCCTCACTCAGTGGCTTTGGTGAAATGAGGCAGATAAGAAGCAGGAAACTTTTAGAGTGTAACAAAACAGCAACGTTGTTTTCTGTGGGACTCTTCTAATGGGAACGTCAGTGTGTGAGAGTCGCCAATGTGTACGGACAGAAACTGAATACAACAGAAAGACTGATACATTAATCAGACCTGGAAAATACAGCTACTGTATCTTGTCTTTGTGCTGAGGCTTTTGGTTCTGGGTTAAACCCAAAAGAAAGATGAATAATTCGGGCATTACAAATAGTTTTCGGTTCTTTTCAGCACTCAGAACCGATGGTTGGATAATGGTGCTGTCAATCACACGTGAGGCCAAATCAAATTCACCCTCCTATTTATCTCCATCAGCTAATTTCCTTCTCTTTTTGTTTATATATCATCCAAATAAAAGCACTACACAAAGGGAGAACTCATTTGGCTGTCAGGAAGAGCATGACTAACTTAAAATGAATCATCATAATCTGATGTTTTGGGATGTCAATAAATAGATCAAAAGGACATAACTGTATATGGTAACCGGAATCAAAATATGTATAAATAATTAACCTTAATGATGTCCTTATCATGTTTGTTTGGACATACAGTTTTTTTTAGCATCACAGTCAAACAGGAATGGATAAGTTTCTTAAGAAACATTACATTTAAAAACAAAATTAAATACAAAGAAAAAACAAAAGATCACGATGATGGTACGGCTTCACATTTAGGCCCCGACCTTCAGTTCTTCTCCAAAATACACCAAAACACACAGATGCACCGTGTTGTTTGTCCAGGTGCAGCTAAACAGTTTTTAACCAAGTCAAACAATGACTAACTTAAACTGCATGTTCAAGGTAACTCCGTCTTTTCATTTTAAAAAAGAACAGCTGTGAGCTGTGTAAACAACCGACAAAAGCCAGATTCCAGCCCAGCTCCTCTGAAAGGACACGTCTTCTCACATCCTATTCTACGTCCAGGGCAGATGTTTGACTTCACTCTGTGACTACCGAGCTTCAACTCTGTTTGGCTTTTCTCACACGCCACAGTCAGTGTTAATCAATAAAAGGTGCTTTGCAGAATTTCTCAATCAATTTACAATGAAAGGCAGAGAAAACTGTAGCCTTGAGGAGCCTTGATGCTTTAAGTAGAAGGTCCACGCGCTTCAAAAGCCATTAAGCTGTAAGTTCTGATTTATTTTCTCTTCATAGTTGTTAATGTATCTTTCGCACTCCTCCACAAGTACACGAGCACTAATAAGAACACAACTTAAGGATTTACAAGTGCTCTTCAACACTCTTTTGGTTTGATTAGACAGAACAGAGACTCCACTCGTGTTGTGATCAAAGACTGCTTTCTTTCACCCATTATTTTAAAAGGCCTACAGTTAAAATATAGTTATACTAAAAAAATGTATTTCCATTTTTTCTGAAAACCTACGATAAACAGTACGGAAATATTTTGTAGTTTAATTTTATAGACCTATCTTAGAATGTAGTGATTGTGTCACACACTGGTCCTCACTGTGTTTTAGACTGAGGTTGCAACAGATCACACTGAACCTCAACCTGGGACCCACAGAGCTACTGTATGTAATGGGACTCAAAAATAATGAGCATACATACTGCAATCAGTTTGTTAAAAAACACATATGGTATCAGAACAACTTTTGGCAGCAAGAAAAAAAAACAATGACAACCATTATTTAAAACACAGATGTTCTCTGGTATCTTATTCATCATAAATTCACGTTAAATATGTGGGAGTTTATTTGTCCAGTAAACATGTGTCTGACATTCACTTCAGGCAAAGGCGACAGGATCACTGGTACAGTATGTCACCTCGGTGCCTGGCTAAAAAAAACAATTGTGACTGGAATGATTGATCTAAGAAAAACACAATTTCTATGCAATGAATATTTTTAGAGCGGCTAACTCCCTTCTGTGTTGCTGTTAAACAGCCTTTGCTCAGCAAGCAGCATTTTCTCATTAGATCATTGCAAATTGCAAAAAAAAAAAAAAAAAAAAAAAGGAGCAGGAGAACAGGCTCATTTACTGTAGTGCCACAAAAGAATGTACGCTGATGAGGCTGTTAAAATACCGCAGGTTTACTTTCTCTCCATGCCTCCTTCATACCGTTTCCAGACACAGTGGGCAGCAACAGGCAGCGTAATTAAAATGTGCACAAAACAAATGAAAGGAAATGATGATTGAAACTTCTATTAACACCTTCACACTGAGCCCGGTGGTTTCACACAGTGATTTAGCACAAAATCTAGAAATGATCTTTGTTCGCCAGAGGAACTTCAACTCAGTCAGGACAACGTTCTGGTGTTTGTGCTGTATGTGAGCCAGTGTGCAAAATCCATACAGGAATTAAGGGAATGTAAGCGATCTAACCAGTACGTCTTAATGGAAGGCAAGAGCACGATCCACTGCAGAATAAATGCAACGGAAAAATAACACAACAATCAAAATAATGTTTTTCTAAATTCACTTGTGATTTCCCTCTCAGACTATAACCAAAAAATAATTTTACATTTTGTGAGTTACAATGTGCAAAAATTGGTCTGGAATTATTTTAAGATGGCGGTCACAAGTCTCCAATGGAAAAGTAATATTATTATGACTTAACTGTGAAAAGTGTGTCATCCTGGAGAGCAGGTAGACGAGCTACATGCTACATGCTATCCACGTGTCTATTCTCTATTCAGGGGATGTTATAAGTCAGTGATACACTGATAATACAGCATTAACATAACCTGACCACCATTCCACCACTGGGGCCACAGCAACAGAGACTCCCAGGAGATGTGTTCAGTTATATTAGCCGGTGACAGCCCACACAGCATATGGGAGGGTTTGGAAAACAGAAAGGAAAGGTGTGTATTGTGACTCCAGCGCTCGAACGTGCCGCAGCATATCGGTAAACACCGTTAATCACAGGTTAGCAGATGGGATTGTTAATTGCGGCAGAGGAAATAACAAGACCCAGAGGATGCTTCTATTTATCGACACTCGCACTGTTACAGATAAGCGCCGGACGGATGGTGTGTGTGTGTGTGTGTGAGTTCACACTAAACAGTGAGGAGTGTCTGGAGGTAAAGGTGGTGGGGAGATCTAACGTTAAATTTGATCCTGCTAATGCTTGGCCTTGTTTTGGGGGGATGTCTCCTTCCTAGGTCTCCCCCAGTCCATGAGCCTCAGTCCAGGTTTCACACCAGGCACACAAACCATCCACAAACCCCTTTGGGAAACACGCTACAATATGGAGCCTATCTGTTTGCAAGGAATTAAAAAAAGAAAAAAACATTCATGAATGCTTTCCCAGTTCATTTAGAAATTTTCTTTTTTCAGCTTTTAAAAATATTTCTGCCTTTTACCCAGAGTCAGCTGGGATGTGGCCCTTCTCTCTCTCTCTCTCTCTCTATATATATATATATATATGTATACTGTAGGCTGATGACATCATCACTGGGTGTTTCAGGTTTTTTAACATCCTGAGTACTTTTGGTGAGTTAAGGTTGGATTAGATTAGATTAAATACATTTTTAAAATCATTATTTTGTCTGTAAATAACTCCCCGTCCTAATGGTTACCTGCTTGATGTTAATATGCACAAACTTTGAATTAAGAGAACAAACTTTAGTTATACATTTATACAACTTTTTTTTTTACAGTGGACACAGTCACATCATCTAATCGCTGCTGCCATCTTTAAAACTGAAGGGTGAAGTAAACCGTCAGTCAGACTCGTTGATATTGTCACCATACAAACAAGCAGCACGTGGCTCCCACTGCATCCAAATCAATCAGCGCAGCTCTGTGCATGCGGTAGTTGCCTAATTGATGCACTAATCCAGTGACTAAGTACTGCCATGCTGTGAAGTCTGCCCAATGCAAACACAGCACACAAGTCAGCAACCAGCAGCTTCTTAAAGGAGAGAGTGGAGCAGGACTGACAGAACATCTATGAAGTATGGATCAAGGAGGAGAGGTGCACGCCCATGAGCTGCAGACCTTTGGCCTAAAACAACAAAGCTGTCTCATCTGCTGAATCCACATCGGTCGAAGTCTGAAGAGTGAGCAGGAGCTCGAGCTGTTTTTTATTTTTTCATAATCCAGGAAGAAATACATTTTTGTTTTCAGCCATTTTCTTACACTGCATCATGTAGAGAATTATTTGACTTTTTGACTGATAAACAAGTGACTTTAAAGTTGTGAGGGAAAAAAGGTCCACAATAACGCGCTACATTAATTCATAGAAAAACACAATATTATTTTCGTCTTTGCAATACAAAAAGTAACAAGAAATGTTAATGTTAATATTAGAGACATTTTATTCTCCAACAAGTAAAACAATCACCTGTCGTATCTTTTACCGTTATTACCGCTGCATTTTCACAAACTTTGGTGACGTCCACTTATCACAACTGCAGGGTAATGTATGACCACCCTGACCTGGACCTCCATACCTCCACCTGTATCTAAAATAGTTCTAAATAAAACGGCAAACTGTCACGTACCGTGTATCAGTGCTAGCTGTCAGTGTTCTACTCTAATATTTGATTTAAGCTGATGACAGAATGCCAAAGAAATACCTCGTCCACTGTTTGAAGGAACAAGTGAGGTGAAGTGCGGCTGTAAAACGAAGACCGTCATAAAAGACGCCACTGAAGTTTACCTCGAGTCCTTGCAACATGAAGCGGCCAAGAGAGCAGGAGGGGGAGGCTGAGGTTGGGGGTGGGAGAGGGGGGGGGAGTAGGGGGATGGGAACCGAGGAAAGGAGATAGGAATCGATTGTGGAAGTGTGCATCTCCACACCAACAGTGGGGTCAAAGGAGAGGCCTGCACAGAAGAATGTCCTACTGAGTAATTACAAGAGCACCTCTCCTAACACACCCGGCTGACCCGGCTTTCATGCCTACCTGTGTTAATAATCAGCGCTCATAATGAACAGAATCCATAGGTCTGCTGGGTTAAGGTCCTCAACAACCTTGCTCCGAGCAACAGCAGCCAAGGAACAGCATGTGAAAAGCTTGTCGGGAGTTTATGTTGCCCGAGCCATGCTACGCTATTGCCCCCTGGTGGACATTTCGCGGACCAGCATTGTCCAATAGGATTCAAGACACAAAACTTAAAACACACCATCGCGTGTTGGTCTGTTAAGAACAATGAGTTGTTTTGTTCTCTTGAAAAAGCAACGGCATAAACGGCGTATAATACAAAAAAAATAAGTGAAAACATTATTATTAAAGAAAAGTCAGAGAACAAAAACACAAATGAAAAGATACATGGAAATCGAATCAATTAAAATGTTTCATTAATAATTTTAAAGTCTTCAATACTACATCAATTAATACTACCACTAATATTTAAATATTATTTTCAGCCTTTTCATTTTCTGGGAACCAAAAAACTAAACACATCAATTAATACTACCACTAATATTAAAATATTATTTTCAGCCTATTCATTTATTCATTTTCTGGGAACCAAAAAACTAAATAAATAAAAACAGGAAGAACAACAGTTAAGTTTAGTTTAGTTTTTTAGCCTTTTAGCTCCCCATTATGCAGACGAACCCAAAATTAACAGTGTAAACGTTTATATTTTATACTTATACAAAGGAGGATGAACACTTGCTTATGACAATAACTTGTAGTACCACTAGGTGGTAGTAAAAAGTAATTATCTTCTGGTTCAAATTCATACCTACTTTGCATTATGTTATGAACTTACAATGGTGCAAAACGTATGATGTTATTGAAAATTCTTTGAACCTGACATTAAATTACATTTTGTCCTAAATAATTTTGGTTGAATACTGAATCAATGAATAGACATAAGGATGAACAGTATTAACAAAAATATTTATTTTTCATCTTAATTCGTCTGTGTGTGTCATGTACTACATCCACAGATTATTCCAAACTCACAGTTTTAAGATATTATACTCAACATTTTTGGCTGGTTAATCATTTTCCTGTACCAGGCCTGTCATAGCTAACCTTCCATCTGCTTCCATGGGCTGCTGTGTATGCACTAGTGTTACTGGTGTGTCAGACAAGGTCCTATAAAACGGCCTATCTTTTAAATAATGCGTTACTTTGTCCATTAGTTGTTTGTTATTTTTTTAAAATGACATGTTCAATCCCAGCTCATGTATACCTGAAACTATGTTTCTTTTATTAGAAATGAGTCAATATCTAGAGAGAAATTATTTATATAAAAAGGTTTGTCAAAGTCACTAGGATAAATACAATCATTACAAAAGTATCAGAAAATAGCTCCTTGGTGACAAGGTAACAACCATAAAACGCTGAAGTCTCAATTTGCTTAATGTCCATATGCACACAGGTACTTCTAGGTTATGAAACGGTTGGTTGTGTTAAAGCAGCTAACCTCTCACTGACCTCCCACAGTTTCTTGGCCAGGGCATCGTCTCGTCCCCTGACACAGGCTTCCTGAACAGCACAGTTAGAGAAGTAACGTCCACTTAGAGGCTCAAGGCCCTCCTGCACGGCGCAGTGCAGGGTGGTTTGAGACCCACCTTCTGGGTCCATAAAGAAGAGCTTGGCAATGGGCATCACGAGGAGCTGCAGCCAGAACGGCAAACTGCGACATAGTTCTGTGTAGACGACACCTGTTAACGGGAAGAAGTTTGTCTTTTTTGGTTCACAAATCACAGCTCTAATAACTCCTAGCAGGGAATACGTTTGCATCCACAATTTTTCAAAAGACGGACCAAAAGCAGCAGGGAATACGTTTACATCCATATATGCAACAAACACAATTTTTCAAAAGAGGGGCCAAAAGAACTGTAGCTTCAGAATTCAACATTTTCAAGTGCAGTAGTCTCTGACCTGGATGTAGGCTGTAGCAGGTGACGCTCGTTCCCTCCAGCCTGTTGGCCAACTCCCGGGTAAAGAGAACATTACACAGCTTGCTGTTGCAGTAGGCCTGGATGCTGTGCCAGGTGGAATCACCTGACACCAAATCTTTCACAGAAGACAGTAACGGGAAGTCAATGGTTCCGAAGCGGTGCAAGAGGGCGGCGACAGTGACCACACGACTGGGGCCGCATCTCTGCAGTCGCTCCAAAAGGAGGTTGGTGAGCAGGAAGTGACCGAGATGGTTTACCCCAAAGGCTAAGCCAAAACTGTCCTCAGAGCGACCTGGACCCATCACACCTAAAACACGGAAAGATAGTGAGGGCTTTCTTCTAGTGGTAACTACTTCTATTACCATGTGGTTTTAAAACTGAGGACAGTCACTCACTTACTTTGCTCTAGTATTTAAACAATGTACATCAGTAATGAAATAATAATAAACATTTTTATATTATATTATATTTTCTTTACCTGCATTGTTGATAAGAATGTCCAGTCTGGGTTCAGTCTCGAGGAAGGTTTCAGCAAAGCACTGCACCGACTTCAGACTTGACAAATCCAAATGCATGAACAACACTTGATTATTGCTACTTTCCTGGAAAACAATCACAAATATTTCTACGTACCTGTGAACTGTCAGGAAATGACTGAGGCTGTGACACAACACTTAACTATTTGTCTTTGCTAAAGTCAGGGAAGGTGTCTGAAAAATTGATCATGAGGAATGATCATGACATTGATCTTTATCCACACATTAATTACGTGAGACGATTGACTGAGCTCTCTCCGTGTACCCACCCTGCGGATGTCATAAACGGCCATCTCAGCCTTCTCCTTGTTACGGCAGGCTAGGATCACCCTGGCTCCTCTCTTTGCCAGCTGCAAAGCAGTGGCTTTGCCGATGCCAGTGTTGCCGCCTGCAAGAAAAGGCAAAAGTCACATCATGCCCTAATAAATCAAATGTTTTCACACATAAACCTGCAGTCAGATACAGGGCAATACACTGTTAAAATCTTAAAAACTCCTGTAATTTATAAATCTCTAAATACATCCTGGAGATGATAAAGTATTGGTGAACATATAATTGTATTTTTTTTACAAAAGGTAGTTTAAAGAAAGTTAGCATGTCCTCCTGATGTATATTTGCCTATAAACGTTAACATATTTCACAATTTTTTCTCCTGATAAACGTTAACATATTTCACAATTTTTTAATTGATTAACCATATGAACAGCATCGCTGCAGTATCTGTACAATGGTCTTCTTAGCACCCCCTGCTGGAGGAAGAGGCAGTTTACGTATGTAAACAGAACGCCTGTTTAGAGTTGGAAGTGATAACTTTAGTCATTTTGTTATTTTATCCTTTCCGCTTTGTGGTTTAATGTATCGCTGTTTATTGTGCGGCTATTATGTGAGTATGTGACCTTGTGAAAAGTAGTTTCATTATGAGTTTTTTGTTTGCGTAGGGTAAAGTGTAAAATAAAGAATGACTGACAAGACGACAAATGGTCTGTTGTAGCAGCGGACACGTTACAGTTACCTGTAACAATGGCCGTCTTCCCCTCCAGTCTTACAGAGCTCGAGCATCGTGCTCCTCTGCACACACCGTAATAAACCGTCACGTAGATGAACACAGCTGCGGCAGCAACGTAGAGAAACACAGCCATCATGAACTGTGAACTCTAGTTATAACATCACTTCCGGGTATTTTCAAAATAAAAGTTACCTGATGACTCGCGCGCATATGACTTGCAAAACAATTCAAACTATTACATGAAATTAACGTCTTGCTGGTATGTGCAGTATATTAAGGACATTGCTATAACATGTATCTCATAACTTCGGAAGTCCCTGTCTTGTGGTAAGTTCAAGTTTCTCATTAACAATCGGAGAGTGCGATTTTCAGTGACGTCCTCCAAATAGCTGACTAGCAGCCAATGGGATGCCAGTTACCTCATAAATATTAGTAAGACTTATCCTTACTGCATTCTGATTTCCGGTTGTTTTGTTTGCGTCATGTGTATTTCCGGCATTTTATTTTTTGAAAAGCGGTATCTAGAAAATTGGCAGTCAATTACTAGTTAAATCAATTTTATTGTCCCTGTCCACTTCTTAAAGGGTAATTGTCACAGCTATCGTGTGACTGACCAATTAGCTAAGCTATCGTTTTAAAATAAAACAACATCAGTTGAGTTGTTCTTAGAAAATCTTTCTGTATTTACATGTTTGAACAGACAAGCAGATACAGACAAAGAGTGCTTATGTACAGAGCAGCACAAGATGTTAAAATGAGTGCTAAAACAATATGATATTTACAGGTGAATTACGGAGGAAAATACAGACTAGGAACATGTTTTATCACAAAACCTCTGGTACTCTACATAGTATCACAAAGTCATGAACTGTACAGTTAAAAACCAACAAATGGTAAATCTACATGAAATCCAATGCTTCTCCAGAGGAGAGGCACTGAATTATATATATTTACATTATATTTACATAAAATAGTGTATATGCATGTATGTTTTCATACATATATAGCTACCTGGGGTGCAAAAGCAGCAAAAGAAATCAGAATGTATGGAAAACAGTACTACAAAATAAACACTTTGTGCTAAATGGGATGACTGACAGAGTAATATTACACTATACAAAACTAGTATACTGGTTAAAAAGAAAAAACGAAAAAAAAAAAACGAGCATTGGTAAAATATTGTTGCTCAAAATCCTTATAAAACGAACAGAAGATTACCGTCAGTCATTCAAAAACAGAAGAGATTGTCAATAATACTTCAAGTCCATGCAAAGATATAAACCATTAAAAAAAATTACTTTTCCCTGTTGACCAACCAGCTGTGCAGATTTCCCTTCACTGCAACTACAGAGGTGCAAAACAAAAAGAGGGTGGGGAGGGGGTTCTGGGCGGGCTATGGAACAGAGCTGGAGTGCAATTCGGGAATTTGGTGGGGAGGAACAATCTCAGCGTCAGTTTCTTCCTGGCTGGAGGGACTGCTCTCTGTGGCAGTGTTGGGCAGTGGTGCTGTTGGCGGGGTGGATGTGGAGGTGGGGGCAGGGTGGGTGGTGTTGCTGGCTGCGTTACTGCTGCCGTTACTGCAAGTAGCAGCCGCAGCAGGGGTGGTGGTCTGTTCTTCTTTGGGCTGCTTGCTTGCAAACTCTGTGATGCTGAAGACAAACTGCAGGCAGCCCAGTTTGATGTAGCTCCCGTGGTGGAGCAGGGCGGTTCCCTCCCATCCTGCCCCACTGCCTCCTATTAAGCTGGAACTGCTCGACTTGCATGTGCACGACAGCTCTGAGCCGCCCTGAGACTGGCTACTCATCACCCCTATAGCTGGCAGCAGACCCACCGCCGAGTCGGGCCCCTCTCTCTCTTCACGTTTCTTACTGCGGCCTATAAAGACAACACAGGAATAAATCTAATTAGTACCTGACCACATGAGATGCTGAAATAATTAAGTTACGTCACGTAATTAGAAAGTAAAAAGAAAGTATAAAACATATTTATTTAACAACATCTGAAGTCTAAAGCAAGATGTAAACAAAGAATGTCATGTTTCATCATGCATGAGCACCAGCACAGCTTTGCATGATGAGCACTTTAATATATATGGAGGGTTTATGTTGAACAGTCAAATACATAAAAAGGGATTAATGTGATGCTGCACTCTTTGGACATCAGGTAAAGACAGAGATCTGTCAAACGTGCTCTTACGTATGATGCCTTGGACTTTGGCGACTAGGCCACTGGGGACAGTTGGCGAGACCTTCTCAGAGAAATCACATGAGTAAAGGACGTTGTCCACGGTGGTGCCATGCTCACTGTAGTTGAGCAGCTCATAGTGCTTGGTGTTCTGAAGGACACACACACAAACGAGAACGTTTATTTACACTTTTGAACACAGACAACATACTATTTGTTCAACATGAACTGTGGTGAACGTCAGGTCACATTGGTGAGACTCAGTTCATACCTCATCATAAAAAATACAGGCATGTTTCCCAGATATATAGTTGCAATGACCGTAGTTTGTAAGGCACACATCCATGTCAGCACCTTTGGAAAAAAATAATTACAAATAAATGTTAGAGCACAACTTAACACAAAGCTTAAAGTTACAATAATAATAAAAACAACAACAATAATGCAACATATTGTAAGTTTATCTTAATTTGAACTTTTGAAAACAAGAACAACAATTCAAATGCCTAACTCAGCAGCTGTTGCAGTGACTGTGATACAGTGACTATGTCTATTACCTGATCCTATGTATAACGTCCTATAGCACATGTTGACAGCTTCTCCTTTTCCTGCTAATGGATAGAAAACTGCTCGGGCCTGAACCTTCTTCTGACCTGCAATAATAAGAAAAAGAATTACATATGAGGAACACAACTCAACAGTAAACTAAGAACTGTTAGAAAAAGAGATGTTTAAATATTTAAACAGAGTGTCAAAGAACAGCATGTCCTATGTATTTTTCCTATTCAAAATGCAATGCAAACAACATAATTTGCATATTTTCTTGATTTGCATTGAGTTTTTCAGTCACTAAATTCAGTGAAAGTGTCCTACCATCAGGTTTAGGGGTTTTAGGAGGTTCAGTGGGATGAAGGGAGCTGGGTGTTTTTGTGGGGAAGAGCTGCTGGATCCTCTGCCAGGCAAGGAGTTTGATCATTTCTGCATCAAGTTTTTCCAGCATGATGCCTTTACAAACAGAAAAAAAAAACAAGATAAAGGAGAGGTAAATCAATACAATTTGCTTTTGTTTGATTCAGTGAATCTTTTTTTTAAGAACAATTTTCTTGGAATGGAACCAGTTTGATATAAAAGAAAATGTCACAATAAGGATGTTATTATATTTTGTAAAGTAAACAAAGTGACTTGTGCCATCACATCTACCTCCATTTTCACCCTCTTTTTCATCAATGCACTTTGACAGGTCAGTGATGGAGGAGAGGCTGCTGGGCACCAGTGAGTCAGTTCCACATCCGGTCTTTGCCTCTGTGGAAGACAAAACACAGAGACAATGAGCAGTGACTGAAAAACTAAAAATCACATGAGATGAAGAATAAGGCTTTCATTTTCTTTTTTCAACAATTGCAGGATTTGTTTTATTTGCAATGTGTAATTATTAAATTCAATCAACTTGTTTAAACTTGACATACCGAGAACATTCCACTATTGACCACTAGATGGGGATATTGGGCAATAACCCACCAGCATTTTTATATAACGTTATCTTTAAAACATCCCTCATAGGGCTAGTGAGTGAGTAAAAGCAACACTCTGCTTAAGTGAATAATTGTTTTTTCCAGTCGGACAAATATAAAAGTGTAGGGACATTGTGCTTTATGAGCATAGAAAAATATTTTACAAGGTTTTCAATAGTTTGAAGGCCCAGACAACCACAGCTGTGTTCATACCTGGAGTGGAGGACAATGACCCGGACTTGGTCGGATCACACTCCGTTTGATTGCCTTTGGGCAGTGTGTCTGCGATGGCACTGCTGGTGACGGAGGACGAACGTTTTTCATTGCTGGTTGTACACTCCTCCGTCTGAAGCACCGTCTGGTTCCTATGATTCTGTTGGCCACCTTGGGGCCATATCGTCGGGGCAGTTGAGCAGATTTTTGGAGTGCAACTCTCAGTCGTGCTTTCTGGCTCCTTTTTAACCATTTGTGTACCTATGTGGTTTACCGAACTGGAGGTAGGAGGGGGATCTGTGGGAGCTACACTGGGCTGGGTTCTGCACTGCAGCTCCGCTTGTCTGCTGGGGACTGACGAACTGTTACAATCTACGGGTCCATTGGCCTTGGGTGGCGGAGACTCATCTTCTAAAGGTCCATTTACTCCCCTGCATTTCTGACAGGAGGTCAGTCTGCATTTACAGGTGCCCACATTTTCTTGCGTGGGCCTTAAATTAGTACTCCCTTGTTGGTCATCGGTTGTACTGCAGGGCTTCAAGCAGGGTTCGTTGGGGGAAGTCCTTCCCAAAGAGACCTGAGGTTTAACGTCTTCTGCCATTGCAAATGATTTAGCATTGACTTTCTGCTCTGTCTCCTCGGACGATTTAAGTGACTCCTTTGAAAAAGCCTTCTGTTTGATTGACAGGTGTCGCATAATGCTGCACTGAAGGGCGATGACGTTCTGTAGCCACTGTTTAAGACAGAAGGATAAAATTGTGTGATGAGAGTTTTATATTTGCAGGGTCAGCATTTAATTCTCTTTTTGTTTACATCCTTAAATCACTATACATTCAGTTGCATTAGCACAGATTCAAGTAATAAAAAGAAAGAAACTGGGGGTGTTCTTAAACCAGAAAACACTGTTTTTTTGTAACTTTTGTCTTCCTACCTCCTTTTGTTCAGCCTCTGTTGTGAAGTGCCGTGAAGGCAGATGGTCAGGAACCCCGCTACAAACCAGCTCCAACTGACGCACACGAGCAGGAAGTAACATGGGCGGAGGATTCTGGTATTGGGACTTAATGGCATCTGGGACCTGAGACCAAACAATGATTGTAAGACAAAAAACTTTCACAACCCTCCTTTTACTGACATCTCGTGTTTGCATCTAAGTGAAAAACAAATTGGGCAGGAAAGGATGTCTACCTTGATCGTCTTTTTATTATGGTGGAGCGAGCTGCGTCTGTTGGGTGCATTTTGACGATGGACTCTACTGAGAAAGTCCAACTTGACAGCATGCTGGGACATTCTATCCTGGAACTGGTCAAAGAGCTGACAGCGACTGGACAGACTCAGGTTCTTCTGGTTAAGCTGAACACATGGTAAACAAGATATGAGTGTAATGCTCTTTTCAAAAAAGCTGTTAAGACAATTCTGTGTTAAGACCATATTCCCTTACCACTAAGTGCTCCACGTGGTTCGGGCACATCCATTTGCCTGCAGGTAAAGCTGTGAGTGGAGGGTCCAGGCAGTCCATGTGGAACAAAAGGGGACAGTAATCACACTGGATCAATGGAGCCATCCTGCAACTCCTGTCAGAGGAGAAAAGAAAAATAGTGCTGTAAACAGGAAACATCACTGTTACAACATCACTACTGTAACTTTGTGGTACTAACCTGTTGCATGAGTAGCAGACTTTGACTGGAAGAGGAACCAGCCCATTAGGATCCATTTCATGCTGAGGTCTTCTGAAAGGCTTCCCTAACAGCTCCTCTTTTCTCCTTCGTTTACTGCTGCCTAAAAAAGTTGTAAAAACACAATATTAGAGGCGAAGCGCAAACCTAACCTGTTTCACAACATGTATTAGAATATGTTGAAATTAATTGGCCATGACCAGACTCCATTTTTATTTGTAGTACGAAAATCAATAAATACATGTCATTAGTCCTTGACATAAGTATTTCAACTAACTGAAACAAATATTAACCTGGCAGTGCAGTAGTGCAGGTGAGCTCTGTGGGCAGCTGAAACTGAGTGGGGTTTCTTTCCATAGCAGCTGCGATAAGAAGTTGGAAGGGCCTTTTAAGAAGCCGTGGGGTAGGAGCAGATGGTGTAACACTTTCGAGCTCCACACCCTGAACATCATCTTCTGGTTCAGCTGCATCCTCTTCCACATCATTCTGATCTTCAGAGGGAGTCGGGGTGGAAGAAGTATTGGAGGTAGGTGTCCCAGGACGACTACTTGGCCTACTGCTGGTCCTGCGGTCCAAGAGACGTACCTGGGCTACCCGTAAACCAGGTCCTGCTGCTCCAGCCCCTGGAGGTAGACCATCAAGCCGTAACGGGCCAGCACTTAGCTCCAGCTCCATGGCTGGAGAAGCTGAGCGTTTTGATGATGGCCTGTCTGGCAGGCCATTGGTCTGTTCTGACTTCTGCTCCCGCTTCTAATGGCAAACAGAAAACAAATTACAAAAAATTTCAACTTAAGTGCTGGTCATGCAAAAATATTTAAATTTAATATCTGCAGCATTAAATTAATGCTAACAAAGATAAAACAATGAAACATGAACTGATACCTTTTTCTTGACATTGCAGCGATGACACATCCATTCTCCTGGAGGGAGCATTTCTTCACTCAGAGGAGGATTACTGTTTGGGGAAAAGAGAATTTGTCTTTTCATAATAATAATTCAAGACTTAATTCGAAAATCTGGTACACATCTGGACTACATGTGATTCAGAAACACCTCCCACATAAATACTAATAAATCAATCAATTCAATACAGTTTGATGTACCACCATGATACCTGACGAGGTGGAGTCATTGCCGATACTATTTAAATTTATGTCTTTATGATAGGGACAACCAAAACGTAGGAAACAGCAGTAGATATACACTGGAAGTGGCTTTAACTTAATAAGGTAATTACATTCACACAGCTAATTCTGAAACGTGTTTCTGTTTCATGGGTTTGACAGTCATCCTACTGTGAAAAGATGCTAAGATTCACTAATGCTCTGAATCCGTGCCTCCTCACCAACACATATGATGCAAAGGGCGTTTGATCCCGACTGTCTGTGCTGCAACCGCGTAAATGACGAAAGTCAAAATAATACGAGGCATATTTAAAGAGGAAACGGGTTGAAAGGAAAGGACCGACACCACAAATGACGGGACTCCTGATACACAGTTTTCAGCAAACACATCGGTGCTACTACTCTGCTTCGGGAGAACAATAAACGATTCAGCTTCAGATGTTTATCACCGCCTTTTATTAATATTAACTTCGTTCTAGACGGTCGGTAAAATGGCGGTGACAGAAAAAGAAAACAGAGGTCGCCATATTGTAAACATAGACAATCCTGCCTCCATTTTTAGCAATGATGGCTCCACTGGCTGCAGCCACGACAGGAGGGGAGGACCGACGGCAAACGAGCTCAGCTGCTGCTACGTGCACACCCTTCTCACTGGCACCGCGCTTCTTTTAAAAATCACGCTTGATTCAATCACTTTCGTAAAACTGCTCTTTCAAAAAAGAAACGAAGCAAATCGACATTGACTGTCATTATAAATGCAGTGAATATCAAACATGCGAATAGAAAGAGAGGAAATAGCGGTTAGCTTCCTTTGAGTTAGCGGATACCGATCTGCTTTAGCAGAAGCTAAGCACCACACTAAACTTAAAACGTGTTTACTTTAACTTTGGTCACACGACAGAATTTGTAATTGCGACCGGGATGTGTATTCTTTATATTCTAAACCTACGCAATGCCACAGCGAAATAATTGAGCCGATAGAATCGAAATATAACGGTGCTATGTTTACTGAGAGCTGCCCAAGGCTCACTGTCGCCCTCGTCGGTTCTGGTGGGCTTTGGGTGGAGAAGTTTCTAATTAAACAATACTGTGAATGCCTTTAATCGTGTGTTATGTGTGTTTATTTTCCGTCCTGCTACTAAGTTTAGTGGCATCACACTGTATACGTTACATATTAAGCGAGCATGTAACGTACCAGCACTGGAGGTGGAAAGCTGCAGGGCAGTGGTCACAGCACAGTAAATCTCCCCCTTCCCGGCAACTATCACAGGTGTCGTGGTTGGTGGCCCTGCCGCTCCTTCTCACGTCTCTAACCAACTTCCGACTCTTCTTCTCGACCTCCTCTGACTTCGGAGGCGCCAGCAGTGTTTGAATTTGCTGCAGAAAATTTGGTCATCGTTGTTAGAAGGGATTGCAAGGGTCCAGTTCAGTTATTTTCCTAAAAAAAACACTAAAAACTACAGCTTTTGATGCCTAAATCATTCAATGCATAACAGTGCAAGGGAGGCGGTAATGTTAAGTCAAGGCCTCCACTGCCAACACAAACGATAGTTAGCTAAAATATTTATGTTTAGTTAAGACACCGCTTCGGGGTTCTGACAAAGACCACGTTAAGTTATTAAAAGCAACTAAAACAATAGGAATATATTGGTCGTTGTACTTAATCATGGCCTTCGAGAGAAGCAAACCTTACCTCCATTAAGCCCCCAGAGGTATCCAAATCGTACACAATCGTCGGGGTCTCCATTTTGTCCCACATTCATCCAGACTCAGTCGCTACTGAGAGGAACGGAGCTGCAAAATGCCAACCGACTCAAAACAACAGCAAATCCCACGTTAATGTGTTTTCCTGGCGTTTTATCCAACGGGTGGTTGGCCAAGCGATGCCAGCTATCGTTAGCCGGCTAACTACGAAGGCAAGACGTCAGCCAGTCAAGGTTGTGAAGCTAACGGGCTATAAAGCCCCCAAAAGAAAACAAAAATCACCGATATGTGCGTGTTTTGAATGGCGATCGATTAGCACAACATTTTGTGTGCCAATGCCAAGTCTAAAAACAGTATTATATTATTAACGGATTGTTCGTGTAAGCGACAAACCCCAACTGCGGCCTAGCTGGCCAGCCATGATCCTTCTTTCTGCTCCAGCAGTAAGAAGCCCTGTAAATTTGCAAAGCCCTCCGCTCCCATTATCAAAAGAAGACGTAGCCACAAAACGCAGAAATGATTTCGATGTTGTGCGATCCAATGCACAGTTTCCGACAATGATCTGCAAATAAAAATCTTCAATTCGGGTTCGCAGAGATGGAAAATTTGTTGATGTTATTGTTGTGAAAAGCCTGTGCATCTACACTGGCTGCTAGCAACATCCTCTACCAATTGGCGCAACCGCGAACCGTCAGCTACGCATGCGCTGTAAAACGGAAACGAGGACTGGAACGAGGAGCTGGGGGATTGTTTATAACATCTAGAACGTATATTCGTGCACATTTTAACTAAATATGTTTTTAAAGTGTGCGGAGATGTGAGCTATTGCAGCTGACACAGTAACACAATTACAGTTCACGATAGGGACGTGTGTCTGAAAAGCATTTTAACGGTGGATCTAACGATTTTATGTCACCAGTTACGCGACGAAAGCTGCCAATCTTTTACTTTCAGTAACTAAATAGTGGGTTAACATTTTGAAATCATATTGTTTTTTAGTTGTATCACTAGCTCTATCGTTTATGATAAATGGCAGGTATAGTTCTGGTGATAATGCTACTAAGATAGCAAGACGAGGTACTAGTGGTAAAAGCAGTTGTAGTTTTATTTATACCATGGTAGAATACTAACAGTACCCCCTCCCTCATCACAATGTATATACACAAACCTGTAGTCTGTCTAATGAAGTGCAATGGGCCAACATTTTAGTCAGCATGAACCAAAGTGGCTAATTTGTGAATGTTATGTCGAGTTAATCATTCAACTAAGCAGTTAATTAATAATACAGCATTAAGCAGTAATATTATTTTAAAATGTATTTGAAATAATAAAATTCACGTTAAATTCAAGACGATACGCCGTTACATTTATTATCGCCTCTACATCGAGACCCTCAACATTCAAAAAGGGACAATGCCCCCTCCTGGAAAAATATTTACATTGCAGCTTTATTTGTATTTTGAAAAATTAAGAATTTTCCTGAAAAAAACTGTCCCCAGTCAGCGCCGCAACTTTAGTCTCCCCCTCCTGCTGCTGCTGCACCCGCACCATGTGCCGTAAAACTAAGTTCTAATTCGAGTAAATGGTAAAACTGAATTGCGATATTACTTCTGTTCGTCCATAATAATAATTATATTGTAAGATATGTTAGCACTCTTCATTACAGGTAAGACAACGTATTCCAGGAGATGAGAAGAAAGATAGTTGTTTGTCGGCTGAAATGTACGTAATGCACAATTATTGCCAGCAGAGGGAAGCAGCGCTCTCTCGCAAATTGTCCGTTTATTTTTTATTTATTTATTTATTTTTATACATTAATCACCTTAAAATGGCTGGCTGAGCAGATGTGTACTTAGATTTAAAAGTTTTGCTTCTGGGTGTAAACATGGTCCCCGTATCTATGAGCACTAAACACAATTGTCTCTGTTTGCAGAAATGCAGACCTATACAAAGAACCTCCACCATCCTACAATGTTGTTTCCAGACTGAGGGTCTTTAACCACCAATGCCAAAATAATTTTGACATGTGAATAAAACTGCCCACGGAAACACTTCAACCATTTAAATAAAGTTGATAGTGTAGTGTATACAGTTTTTATTACTATAATCATACAGAACTATTCAGATTAACAACAACAGATCTTATCAGCATTGTTTCTCTGTCGGGGGTATGGGTTTCTGGTTACATTTTAAATGAATAAGACCCGTGGTCAATTGTCTCCACATATCTGATTGGTGAACCTTCCACCCATTTTTTGTGTGTGTGTGTGTCAGTTTTGTGATGATGTCACAGCTTGACATCTTTGGATTTCACACTGAAGTAAACAGAAAACGTCTTTCATCTGCTGCACTACATTTCGTCGACCGAACGCTGCATCTGTGATCACCAACGCTGCCCATTTCTTTGTGTTTCTTCAAAAGAGCTTGAGCAGTGCATTTCAAAACCCAAGCTTGCTTTGAAATGTTTGCCTGAGAGGGACCTCGCTGATGCACTTCAACTCTCAGGTGTTCGGTTCTGTTCAAAGGCCTGCTGTAATGCGCTGTATCATTTGTGATGTGAAACTCTGTTCCCCAACTTCACCTTGGTAGCAGAGGTTGTCTGTCCTCGTCCTACATGGCTGTTTAGTTCAGTTAAGATAATTCAGTTCATGACGATGATTAAATTAACTATTAAAATGATGGTAACTTCACCAGTGTGATGTCACAAGCATCAACAATCAATGGACATGTCAGTCACTGTGTTATAGTTTAATTTGCTCATCTGTTATTTTATATAAAAGTACGTACTAACTATTTAGTTGCAATAATAATAAAATTAGTAAAAACCTAGCATTTTGTACTGTTGTACAAAATAACAGTTTGACATTTCGTCTTGTTTGTCCTATTTTGATTGTCTTGTGTTTACCTGTGTATTTTTGTATGTTCAATTGATGTAATCTGGTCTGATTATTTTGTCTTTTTTTTTGTCACTTGTGTTTGTATTCTATTAGTTGTATTTGCCTTTGTTTACCTATGATTTGTTCTTATTTTTGTTGTGTTTGTATTCTCACTGTCAATGGTATTAGTTAGCTGTTGTTTCCAGGTTTGCCTGGTGCTTTATGAACCTAGATTATGTGATATGTTATGATATAAATAACCAGCTCAACAAATGCTGCAGCTAGTTATGTATTTATTCTCTGTAAGATGATAACCTAAATAATAATAAAATCTAATGCTGTGGACAATGACATCTGAAGCTCAAACCACAGCACTGCGATCACAAAGTAAATCCTCACATTTATACTGAAATTACCACAATCTAAATCCTAAAGATAGACAGAACAGAGCCATCTTTGCGTTTGCATAAGCCGGCACTTTAAACGCACTGCACTTTCTTAGCGTGATGACTCGGTTACATAGCTAATTATCACTTTAACGGGACTACTTCCATCTATTCATTACCACACACAGACCCTGATTTCTGTTCCGCAGGCACAGACAAGACCCAATCAAACTTAACGCAGTGGAAAATAAGCAACAGCTTAACATTCAATCCAAGCGAAATTGCATTACTTTTAGTGTTTCTGCGGTGATTGCTGTTTTTCACAAAAGCGTGTGGGGAATGATTGCTTTCGTTTCGCAGGTTGTTTCCTTGTTTCCACCGACTGCTGCCTCCTTTTTTGGTCCCTTTCTTTTCAGTCTGACACCAATTGACCTTTAGATTTAGATCGCAGCATTGAACGAAATATGAATGACACAGGTGTGTACGTAATACAGACAGACAGCGCGACAGCATTTTAAAATGACAGGTCCTGACAGGTCCACAGTCCTGTAAATTGTTTGCACTGCAAAAAGTAGACTTTTACTCAAATTTATTAAAAACAAAGAAACTGTCCTAATGTAAATGTACCACATTTTCCGAACTATAAGTCACACTTTTTTTTATCCTTTGGCTGGGTTTTGCGACTCACGTGTTTGTTCTTGTTTTTCATTGACAGCCGCTAGAGGGCACTCTAGGGTTGTGTACCAGTATCTGCTACTTCTGTACCACTGAAAATTTGCCTGTTCGTCATTTTCACACTGACAGCCGCTAGAGGCCACTGGTGCGACTTATACTCCTGAGCGACTTATTTGTTTTTTTCTTCTTCATTATGCATTTTTTTGGTTAGTACGACTTATAGTCCGTAAAATACGGTAACTATGTAAAAACCACCGGTGATTACAGTAAAAGGTCTTTTTTTCACACATTAGCGTCTGAAAGCATCACAATTATAAACAATGTTCATTTAAACGGGATTTTAAACTTTTTTCTCATCCTGCAGAACAAACAAAACAAATTTACTGACCCCCAGTTTTCACTGCTTTGATTTGAAAATACCAAGTGTACAGAAGTCAGTTACTTCAAAATACTACACTCTCAACTCAACAAGAATGTTTTCTGGCTCAAAATGATTAGTCAATAATACAATACTGACTGACTGATCTTTTTGGGTATCTTTTATTCGAGAGGTTTGTGACGTTCACTTTATCGGTACTATATGTGCCTCGAGTCAAAAATAGTAATTATATCATCACTGTTGTTATCAACACCACCTTGCATGGATACATACTGTTTTTCTTAAAACAATAAATACTGCATGGATTAACAACAGATTTCAGGTTTCCAGACAAGCGACGGTCATTTAAACAACAGCTTCCTTGGTGTGAACTGGTGTGAACTGGTGTGAACTGTCTTTCTGATTCAAGGCTTGGACACAGTCAATATGTAAATATGGGACAATTCCACAAGACAAAAACCCTGGAGGGGGGAAAAAAATTCAAAAATGTTTAGAACAATACATCGTAAAATGAGAACATGGAAAGAGTTCTGTTCTTTTAAAATTATAAATAAACACTGAATGAAGTCCAGGAAGGACGGACGTTCCCTCTCTACGGCGGTACCACCGAGATAAGACATGATCCAACAGTTCAGTTACTGCATTTCTCAGCCTGATATAAAGATTCTTATAAAAAGCAGATGACCTGCTGCCAGTGTCTGTTCGTGTCTGTGTTTGGTGAAAAGTGTCCCACAGTGGAGTGTCCTAAAGTGCATTCATTTTGACCTTGAACGTCCCCATCCTGCCAATAACAACTTTGGGGAAGACAAAGAACCCAAGACGTAATTGTGTAGAATTCTGGATCCTGTTTAAGAGGGATTTCTGTCCTATCTTCCTTCCTTAGTTGCTCACTTCCTTCCTTTCTTTCTTGCTCCCTTTCTTTCTAACCCTTTTTTTGTTCCTTCCTCTCTTGTTTCCTTACACCTTTCAGTCGTTTGTTTCTCTCATCCTTCCTCACTGGTTTCCTCCTTTCCTTTCGTCCTTCCCCCATGTCCTTTGTTTATTTTGCCTTTCACCTCCTTTCTTTCCTTTTATTCACTCAACCTTCCTTCTTCGCATCCTTCTTGCTTTCCTGATTACTTTCCTTCCTTCTCTTCTTCCTTCCCTCACCTCTGTTCTTAGTTTTTGTTGTTGTTTTTTTTGCATTTCACCTTCCTCTCTGCCTCCATTTCTTGCTTCATTGTTTTTTGTTTCTGTCCTTTTTACTTTTTTGCCTCTCTTCCTGTATTTTAATTTTAAAATGTATTCTTTTTTTTCCCTTCTCTGTCCGTCTGTTAACAAATGTTAACGTGGTAATTAGAATTGTAATTTTCTTTGGGAGTAAAACTTAACAAAGCCCAAAACTTGTGCAATTGCTAGAAAGTCATTGTCGATAGAATTTATGGAATATAATGAACAGGTGGTCACAGAGAGACAAAGGAAAAAATATAACTGTAAACTAGAAATGTTTGTTGATGTCACGTCTCCACTGCAGCTCACTGACCAAATTTTACATTGTTAAAAAAAAGGATAACTGGTCACCAGATGGATTTTAGGACTGAAGAAATAAACCAGTTTATCTCACTTTTCTTAACAAAAGTTTTCCCTTTTAGACATTTATCTGAGTTTGATTTGTTATTTTATATCTGGCATTTAAATGAATTGTTCCTTTTTTTCCTGGATCTCTGTTTCTGCAGACACGGCATTTTCTGTAATGGATTTTACACTTTAGAAACAACCCTTGAACATATAAACATTTAGTGTATAATGTACATAACACAACTTAACATTTATGATTATATGCACTTAATGGTGCTGAAGCTTCACATTAATTTCTTTTTTGTATCTTGCACTGAGAGTCTTCAGGTTGCAAGCTCGAGTTTAAAAACTGTACAAACTGCTGCTGCTGATGGTTACAGTTGAAGAGCTAGAAAAATAATCCAGTGGCCCAGCTTTTCCAGAGTGGGGTGGGGGGGTGGGAGGGGGCATTGTGTCCTCTGTTGGGTAAATAAAGGGAGGCTTATATTCAGTGAACAGAGAACAGTGGAGGCATCAAATGAGTCACCGAAGGTTCGAGTCTGATGGAACTTGAAAAGGCCTGTGGGCTTTTTTATTTGTCCGTAGTGAAACACTCACTTGTATCTTCAGATCGAAACCTCGTACTCTCTCGTTTCCTGCAAAGAGAATGAACACATCACATCACAGAAAGACCTGAGGCACTTTCACCTGCCTCAGATGGCTATTAAACATTAACTGACATTATCTGAGGTTCTAGATATTGTAGGTGGACGTGGACCAGATCCAGTTCCAGACCAAAACGCTGTTTTGAACGATTGTGCTTTCTCCTTTTAACACTGGTCGATTTGATAAATCAGTGGTACACATTTTTTTCTATTGAGTGGAGTTATGTGAATTTGGTTAATTCACAAACTAAAAAAAAAAAAAATCTTGCAGTCAAGGCAATCCAAAGAAGCTCAGGAGCCACAGGTTGTTTTACAGGCAACTGAAGGCGTTCATAACATGTTGGTAGAAATGTCCCACTGTAATTATAATATAGATAATACAATTATAATCTAATGCTGACGTACATGTTCGTCCACAGACAGAAAAACTAAAAATATGAGTTTCTTCATTCTATCAGTGCCAGAATTGATCTTCAGTTTGGGAAAATCTTACCTCATTGTTCTGAGAGATGGCAGCGGGAAGGAAAAGGAGAAAAAAAAACAAAACAGGAATTAAACACAGAAAAAAAACCCTAATCTACAGAACTTGTTTATTAGATTATTTACTGTTATTCAAAGTTGTTGTGTATATGAGTGTATTATTTGATTTTTATAATAATAATATATATAGATATTCATTTTTAGAGGTGACAATCTCTGCTAGAGTTGATTCGTTGTTGTTTAGCAGTGTTTTAAGTCAACAAATAACACCGCACCAACCTGAGTCATGTCAGAACTGTGAGTGTGTGTCTCAGGATAATTATTCATCTCACCATTGTTTCATAGGCAGAGCTGTCAGTTGCAGATTCTGCTGAGATATTTTTGTATGGCAGGTTGGAGGACACAGACAGGTGTAGGGACTTCCTCTGAAACCTGAGCATCAACACAAAGACAGAAAAAATGTTTGGCAATAATAAATAAAAGGAACTGAAACCACGATTCATTATTCATTTATTCCTTCTACCGCTTTAATTTTTCAGGGGCATTCAGAGGCTGAACTTACTTCCAGCAATCATTGTACAAAGTACAAAGGCTGAATATATTAGAAGATTAAAACTGATTTTTTTTAATTCATCTTTATCAGAAATGATAAAAACTTTACTTGTCTTTGTTTTACCTGGAAAAATAAAAGTACATCCCAACAGTGAGGAACAGGAGCAGGACGATGGGGATGAAGACGGTGAACGCCACGTTGGCTCCTTCCAGTCTGAAATCTGCAGTAGAGACTAGTTAAACAGGAGACGAGTTGTTAGAAGAGCAACATAAAAAAAAAAAAACCCTTCTTGTATGTGCTGTCGTACTTTGATGTTACGCGGCAGAACTAAAGTCATTAGAGGAAGGAACAATTAATTTTTCACAGTGGTTTCCTTTGAAAATGTCACACAACTCAACTTACAGTGAGGGAAAAAAAAGTGCAGATGTGCAGGTGGCAAAACTTACCATCCAATCTGGGCTCAGTGTACCTTTCAGGGTGGGCTGGGGAGAAGAAAAGTGGGAAAGAGCAATTAAAATGGGAGGAAGGGTTTTGTGAGAAAAAGCGAGGTAACTTTCACGCCTAAATGGCCGTGGCACAGTCTGCTGATCTGTCTGCTCGGCCCTGGGTCAGGTGCCGGCTCAAAGCTAAAGGCCACCCTCTTGTTGTAGCTGTTACTAGAATGAGACAACCTTCAAAATGCTTGGACAAAAACACAGAACCTTTAACAAAAAGAAAAACTTTCCGTCTCTGGCCTTTCTCCATGATTGATGTGCTGTTTCTGCTTTGGTGGAATGAATATTTTCTTCTGTTTCTCTACTTGTTTGTGCAGTTTTCTTTGAGTGTCTTTTGGTGAAGTACTATAGCTGGTGCAGACACATTATTATTATTATTATTTTTAATTTTGTAGTGACCTTGGTCGTTATTATGTAGTTTTCAATTTAACCACAAGGTGGTACTGCAACTCGATAGTGTCAGTGGAAACGCAATGTGTCATTCAGTTTGTGTAAATGGGGAATTGTTAAATGAATGTTCAGGGATTAAATACCTCTCTGTCTGTGCTGGGGTAGGTTTAATTAGAACTGAATATCAATGTAGGGGCAAATGGGCAATTATAGTCAAACATTCAAATAGTTGTGGTAACATGCAATCTCCTCCCAGGAAGAACATCACTTGGAGCCAGGACTTGATTTTCAAGTTCTGGATCCAAGTGATAGTCTTTTAAGTCATCAAAACTGGTCCTGGATAGTCTTTTAAGTCATCAAAACTGGTAATCCAAAATAAAAAATAAATATAAACATGTTTCATGTTTCAAGTTTAAGCAGTTTTCTAAGTCACAGTCTAAGTTGAACCTACTAAGAATTTTATTTGTATTATTTATCTCACTATGTCTGTCAGGCTATGTATTCACAATATTCACAGTCAAAGCCCCCCTTCCCCCCAAAAAAAGTTTAAGCAGTTTTCACAACTTAGTCACAGTCTAAGTTGAACCTACTAAGGATATTTGGGGTACATTTTTGTTCTCACTCAAACTTCTTAAAATACTGCCCCCAAAGGCCACATCCTATTCTAAAAACTGACTTAGCTTCATATCAAAATGACTGACGGTGTTTCACAGAGTGAGAATGAGTTTAATACAAAGACGGACAGAGATGAGAACAAGTGTTGGAAAATTCACACAGAAGCACTTTTGCCTGGTGTGAGGTCAGTGGTTTCATACTGACACCCCTGACAGTGAAGGAGTCTATAAGAAAAAAAGTCAATTAAATGAAACAAGTGGTCTGTAGCGGCCCACTGACACCAAACAGTGCTTCAACAGTCTGAGTGTAACATGGAGAGGGAAACAGTGGGGGGCAGAACTGGACAAAGACATCGGACGGCACTGATCAGGATGTAATGTTCAGTCTGAATGGATTCAGCCGAGGGGAATCAGAGACCAGTATCCCAGAGCTGTGGAGGGGGTTGGTTCTGTTATCATTCACCAAAGAAACATAGCTATTAAACTGCAAAATAATAATAAAAATAATTTAAAAATACAAAGAAATAATTTCGTCAAAATGTATAAAAAACTACACCTAAATGTGGTATTTAAATTAAAACCTGTCTTTGTTGTCTATTGATACTGTAAATACTTTTCTAAAATCATATCAAATTATTATTGAAAAAAAACCCATACATTTAAAAAACAAATTAAATTCAGCCAGCACCTTAAAAATTATCATCTGAGCTGAGCTCCAAAAAGTGTTTTTCAATCTAAACTTTTTAATTCCCTCACTTCCAAATGTTGTTCTTGTTGTTGTTTATTGAAACCCCCCCAGGCTGAGCACAGAATTGTACTGAGAAGATGGAGAACACATCTGGATGTATTCCCTTACCTTTGCAGACAGGTGGCAGCCCACTCCACTGTGAAGGGTGTCCAGGGACACAGTGAAGAACTGGCTCCCCCAGCAACTGGTGGCCAGGCAGGCAGGAGTAGTGCAGAGTGTCTCCGGCCTGGAAGTGGGGCTGGTTGGAGCTGGGGACGGCGTAGGTGGGGGTCCCTGGGTGACCGCAGGGCTCGAAGGTCTCAGCTGGGGGGCAGAGGTCAGGACACAAAATGTTAGAACATGTTATTTTCAATCTCTGCAGAGATGGCTCTTGGCAAGCAGGAAGCCTATTGCGCCATCTGCAGGAGGATATGGTGCTGCAAGTCCTTAAACAAATACAAATAAATAATAATTCTCTCACTTGAATCAACTTTGAACTTATCTGGACTGCAACGTGTTTATTGTGTTTTCTATATTTTACTGCACTTTTGAATTTAAATTTTATTATTTACATTATGAGATTCTGGTCTTTCCAAATATTCACTGAAAACTGAACAGGATTTTATCCATGTAATAACATTCAATTTAAAACTTTTTTTTTAATATATATTTTTTTCATTCTAACTGTCAACTCTAAACTTAACTTAAAAAAAAAATAAAACCAACAAATGTACCTTGAATAAACCTTTAAACTAAGTTACTCTTGATTGACAGGCTGTCGCTGTGTGAAACATTTAACATGTTGAAACAAAAGACTCTTGGTCCTTTTTTCTTTTAACTAAACCACGTTCAGCATGACTCCTGAAAATTCCGTAATTTCCGTCTCACTAACAGAGGTCACACGTCCCTGGAAACAGGGCCTATTTTTTAAGTTGTCAAATCAGCCGTCCAACAGTATGCTGTAAATGCTTCTGTCTTTAAGTGTTAAAGGTTTCAGAGTGTGGCGGCTGGTCTCCTGTTGTCGTCAAATTGAATCCTTTGTAAGAGTAAAAATCTAAAAGAGAGAAACCTTTGTTGAAGACTGAGAAAAAACATTAAAAACTAAGTTCAAGTCTCAGCAGCGCATGCTGGAGGAGACAACACCCCGGATATATGTACAGCCATCGTGCTGGCACAAATGTGGGTGTTTTTTGTTTTGTTTTTTTTCTTTTCAATTTTAGCAGTCGGAGAAAGAACAGCACTCTCAGAGTCAAGTCATTATTTTCCCACAAAAACCTGTGTCCCAGTAGGAAAGAGGGTTAAATCCTGAACATTAGATTTGCAGTAGAACAACATAAACCTGGATGTTTCTTATTTTCCTCTGCGTTCAGTTGTAACACAGTGACAAACAGAGGACTTGACAATATTATTGTGGATTATGCAGGTGTCTTATCCCCTAAACACACAAAGGCCTGTCCAGACCAGTGGACCAGTGGATTATAATTACAGCTCATTTAGCCGTCGCACAAGAGGCAGAACAGATTAAGTTCATTCCACGAAGCCGAAGGGGAGCAGCGCCACCGTGGAAAAAGTTCCTGAATTGATTTCTTCCAAACACATTCGAACATTTAACACAGGTTAACTGAGAAACTCAGGCAGTATTGATGGAAAAGAATCGACTTTTGAGTTTGGGCAGCATCACAGACAGAACACTTGATCTGTATCTCCGACTTTAGTCAAATGTTTGTTTTTTTTTGTTATCGGGCCGATGTTCTTCAGCAGATTCTGTTGAACCTGGAAAAGTGACATTTACTCTGAAGATACAGTTAGCGAGCCAATCAAACGACTTCTTACATCCTGGGTGGGAGAATGGAAAAAATAAAATCAAAACATGTTGACTCACCACAAACTAAAATACAGCAGTGGTCAACGTGAAGGTGAATTCCATTCCTGTAATCCCACCTTGTTCCTGAGGCTGAAAATAACTCTCACAGGACAACGCTCTGTGTTTTTGGACACACTTCCTGTCTTTGGCTTCTGATCTCATACATAACAATGACCTGGCTTGTCTTTGCTTCTCCGGTTAAATTTATTATAAGTTCACCAGCTTCATACATTGTACCTCAGCCTAGAATGTAGGTGAGACTGAGAATGAGATGTGCATGAGGATAATGTGAATCAGTTCCAGGCTAAAAGGGAATAATATTAATTACATTTTAATCAGACTGATGAACTTCTGGCCTGACATCTCCTCAAGTGAAAATTAAATGGTATGTCAGGAAGTCAAAGCTGCTGCTGCTGATGTTCAGTAATGCATATTAAAATCCCAATGACACAAAAGTGAATATTTTTCAATTACAACAATTTAACTGAATGAAACCTACAACGACTCTGTATATTTATCACTTATTAAATGTTGTATTTTACACAAAAGCTTTTTGAATATGTTTTAGCTGTGAAAAATTGAATATTTTGGACTTGAACTAGAAGACAGAATGAAACCCAAACATTGTAAAATATTCAAATACAAAGGTAAAAAAAGAAACCCAGAAAGATGTTAAAATTCAAAAGTTGTTGAAAAGGTGATTTTTTTTTTTTAATTGGAAAAATTCATGACATATTTTTCTGGCATCAGGAACAAGTTTTATCACTGTGTTTTTGTCAAGTGGTGCTGCTGTTTATTCAACCCGACTAAACCATCACAATAAACTGTTTTGAAATTCGAGCAAAAATCTTGGTATTTTTAAAAATAAATCTTCAAATTATTCAAAACTTTTGAAAGTGTTTTATTTATCTAAATCTGTTTTTTTTTAACTTTACCCAAAACTAAAAGAACAATTTACAGAAATGGATTGAAGTTCTTCTCAGACCAGGTTGTGACCTGATGCAAAACTCATTCCCCGGAAAATCTACGGTGAAGTGTTTAGACTTAAATAGTAAATACATGGAGAAACATCTTTGTTATGGTAAATAAGATAAGATAGATAGAAACGGAAAGAAAGGAGACGTCAAAAAGTGATATAATTCACACAGCAATAATAATTTCTTACTGAATAACTTACCATACTGAGTAATTTAGTTGAAAACTTGGCCAAATACAAAAGCAATTATGTTCTGTATTTGGCCACATATTGTAAGCAGTAAAGCATCAGTATAGTACTTCATACTTCTGCAGCTTAATTCCCCATATGAATCAGCAGCGTAGTTGGTCAGTATATTCAGTTATATTCAGACAGAAACACAAAGGAACTCTGGTACGTACGCAGACATCTGGGCAGCTTCTGGTTCCACTTTGGTCCTGAGGAACCTCGGTTGAAGCAGGTGAGCAGACTGTTCCCAGACAGTGTGAAGCCCTTGTTACAGATGTACTGGATGGTGGACCCTACGGTGAAGTGGGGCCCTGACAGCACACGCCTGCTGTGGTCCACCCTCCCAGGGTCTGAACACGACATGACTGGACACAGAACAGCAGAACAAAATATGGATTAGTATTTTACAGATGTCGACATTTTATTTAACACTGGTTCTCGAATGAACTGCTTGCAGTGGTGTTGGGAGACATCAGAGATGAATGTCACCTCCACACAATGTTGATGCACTGAGACAATCTACACAAATCTGCCACAACATCCAACATATTGGATATTGCACTGAATAAGAAACATCTTTTTTTTTCTCCTGCGTTGCCGTGACACCGCCTCTCTCTCTCTGATGTGCTCGTCAGTGAAAAGATCCTTTTGTTCTACACCAGGAGTGCATGTTTTCTCGTCGCTCCCATCCTTAAAATGACATATATGTGTATCTTTCTTCAAAGTTAATTCAAAATACATGAAAATACAGTCACTGTACTGTCTTTACCACATATGCTAAAGTGTTAGTGGAATAAAAATAGACTGTTTTTGAGTGAAGTTTGAAATATTGTTATTATTTATTTGCTAGCATTCATCTTTATTTGAACTGCATTCAGCCCACATATTTCATCCATGAAAGAGACTTCATTGTGTTAATTTTGATTTATTAACTACAGACTTCTAACTCCTGGAACAGGAGATATACCCACGCCAGCCCAGTGGGTGGCAGTAATGCACCAGAAACCATTAGCCATTAGCCAGACTTTTTTTCAAATGCAGCTTGGGTAAGAGCAAGGCACATCAAGTCTAAGGTATCACCAAAATTCATAATGTGCTGCCAGCACAGACAACAAAGCTAACGCTAGTTACAAGCTTCTCGGTAAATGTACTAGCAAATGAAAAATGCACAGTTTGATAAAAAATATTTGTTTAAAGATCACATCAATAGCTTTTCTTTGATTTCAAGCTAAATTAATTTGTGTTTATAAAAGGTCCTAATTTTAGCAGCTACTGCAATGTGATAAAATGTGAGTAACTGTAGTTAAATAATTATAAATGACTCACAATTACACAATTAATTCATTAACTGTGTCCCACTGCAGGCTGTGAAGACAGGAAGGCTCAGTGTGCATCTGAAATGCACATCAGTGGAGACGTCAGCACCTGGGCTCTTACCTCGCTCACAGCTCGGTAGGTCACCGCTCCAGGTGAGGTCCCACTGGCACATGAGCAGCTCAGCACCGACCACCTGATATCCAGGGTAACACTGATAGGTCACCACGGTGCCCTGAACCAGCTCAGGGTGGGATGTGCTCTTCCAGCCGTTGGAGATTTCTGGAAGCTCAGGACAGGTGTCATTACGAGGCACCTCTGCAGGAATGGAGAGGAATTACATTCAGGATTGAACAAGTTTGTTGGACAATTCATCTTTGTGTCTCTCCCGAAATAAAAATAAAATAAAACATTTTCCATTTCTCATTCCTGTGCAAAAAGAAGTTTAAAAGTTTAACCCAGCGAGCGCCATGACTCACCAAAGAAATGCACCACAAAGCCGTTTCCGTATCCGTAGACATTGGTCGCAGGATCAGACTGGAACTGGATGGTGATGTCGGCGGTTGAGGTGTAGAGCTTGAAGTGAGACTTGGATCCTCCGTACTGACCCAACACCTTGGCGGTGAGGTCATCTCCATCGTAAAAGGTCAGCAGGTCGTTCTTCCCGATGTTTAATCTGAAGCACAACAAACAGCCAGATTAAAGTCTGGAAACTCACTTCCCTAAAACTTCCTTATCTGTTCTCACCAAGAATTAATTTTCTAGAAAACTCACAGTCTAGACAGAAGACTGTGACCTTTTGGCAAATGATTTCATAAATGTTATATTAACATTTTCAATGCTGTGTAGCAGAAGACCACAATTAGAGACCAGGTCAGACGCAGAGCTGGTGTGTTTTGACCCTCAACACAGTGTTATTTACGACGGCATAATGATGAGCTCACACATATCTGTGGTCTGTAGAAATACATGACCTAGATTTGAACTTTCTCGCTGTAGGTGACGAGATAACGAACTACGAATACAAGACGATCCATTTCCTCATCTGCGTATCCAGATAGACTTACTTCACCTCATTATATTCAGAGACATTCATATACAGATCAATGGCCTCTTTGTTGTAAGGCAAAAGCAATAACCCCACTGACACAGTGTGGCTCAGACTCTGAACAATGCAAGAAAAAATATCGGACTAAAATGTAAAAAAAAAGTTAAAGACTAAGGATCAAATTATACAAATTTCTTTTTATTCTAAATGATTCAATTTTTATTCTGATTTACTGCTGGTAGTAATTAATCAAGATAAATCAATATTCCTATCAATGGCAAAAACATTTTTTTATTTTTACTGCAGGAATGGAAAGACACATAACAGCATGTAGAGTATGTTTTAAACCCTGGTGGTCATTAGTGTGCATGACACTTGAGAGCAAATTTCAAAACTTCTGTGAAGCTCTTATCTCCAGCTGCAGACTTTGCCTACTAAAACAATTGTTAGTTTCATGAACTCCGATTTAAACTCATTCACATGAGATTATATAGAACATTGGTTCAGGTGGGTACAGTTTATATACAGTAGTTTCTTTGTGTCTGAGAAAGGGGGGGTGGGTGAACTAAAAAACAAACGCTGACACCGTGTGGTGAACACTCTTAATATTGCGAAGGTTGCTGTAGATAAATAAATACACATGAAAAAAAAGTACAAAATACTTTGAAATAACATCTGTTCAGAGGACTTTATCTTAGCTGGTCTCTTGTGTACTGAAGATATACTGTATATTTTTGCACACCCAAGAATGAGGCCATGTGTATTTATGTCCTCAACCGGCCCCCCAGCCCCCCAGGACGGTTCCTCTGTTTGAGAAACACAAACTCTGGGTTAAATGTGCGTAAGTGCACTTGTGTTTTCTGTTAAATCTGTTGATTTTCTCTCCAGCTAAATCAGCGGAGGGGGCGACTGAGGGAAGATGACATTGAAAACTCATTGTGTGATACAATAAGCCGGTGTCTACATGAGCTACGAGCTTCTTTTTAAGGCCTTGGTACAAAAACATTATCATTTGAGGTTTTTTTTTTTTGGCTGATATAGAGCGAGAAGAAGCACAGGCCATGATGCTAAGTGTGATTAGTGCGGCCATTTTCCCTTCAAGTGATGTAGTGCTAAGTAACCCCACTTACTGCTATAGTTTAATTGTCAAAGTGCTGTGTATTAGAGCTGCTATGACCACAGCCAGGAGAGCTGTAACTCTGTTTAAAATGTCACCTGGGGCTGAGCTATCTCTTCTCACAGAGCGGATTTAGCGCCAGCCAGAAATGGCTAAGCTGGAATAAAGCACTGACATGCCTTTTGCTGTTACTAATTAATCACCAGCAGCTCCTGATAAAACTCATTAGCCGGGCTGAGATTGAGCCATTAATCACTATGGTGATGCTGGAAAATCAAAAGTTCAAGAGGCATGGAGAGAACTGACACATGGTTGAATTGAACCAGATTAAATGTTTATTTTAGGTATTTTTTTTACCCCTTTTCCCTATTCTTTTTTATTATATTATATATTGTATTTGACCAAAAAACTAAAAGAAATGAAATGACTGTGAGTGAAGCTGTGAGCAGATGGGAGCTGGAGTGTGGAGTGTTTGTCTTTCCCAAAGCAGAGCCATTCGTCTTCTGTCAGCAGAGGCACTCACTTATCCGCTCACACGTTGTCGTATTTCCACATTGGTGGGGACCTTTGACTAAACACACCCGTTCCCAAATACTATCTATGACCATCTGATCTGAGAACAACTTGACCCAAATGTAAACCGCTGCCAGATTTTATTCGGTGTCTCCACAGAGACGGGACGTGGTTCTAATTTCTGCTTCAAAACCCTGACACACATCCAGCTCTGCCTCCATTTGATGTTCTCCTATAAACCGCTCCTCTCGCAGTCGTTAGTCACAGTTTTCTTTGCTGTGGTCCCAGCAGGTGTAAAGTGGGATAATCTACAGGGAGTTGTGGGTTTCAGGAAAACTTACATGGCTGGTGTTTCATTCATAACATTAAAAAAAAAAAAAGATTTGTAGGACTGGAAATCTGAGACATCATTCATTGTAAAAAACTGCTGTGAGCTACTGTAAAACACAGTGGCCTCCGTGGAGAAGAAATCCTCGTGTTTATGATGGGGGTAATTGGATCAACAATGTAAGTTTTCAGTGATTTTATATTTATGGCAGCTTTAGTAAAATAATAATGAAAAACACTGTGGACTTTTTATTGTATTACGTTTCAAAAGGCAAATATCTACAACGGAATGTTTGACCTCCCCTCCTTAGGGGGCGATACAGAACACTTTCCACCAGAGCAAAGAGACACAAAAATAATTGTAACCCTCTCCACCGCTCCCCCCCCTCCACCCACTCAAAATGCACAGACGCATCCAGTTCTCACTTAAATATTTATATTTATATTTGTACATATATGACAAAATTTGGACTCTGCACACAGTCGCCTTAATATGTTGAATTCTGTTACTTTGTGTTGTAAATTGGACATTGTCAAATTCCTTGTATGTTCCCATACTTGGCTAACAAGGCTGATCCTGATCCTGATCCTGATTTTACAACCCCAGGTTTGGAAGTTTTCGACAGTCCTCCTCCCTGAGTGTTTCCTCTCACGTTACATTAAAATTGAAGAATAAGGACAAACTCTCATCCCAAACTTACGACATTCCGTCTTTGTTTTTTAATGCTTCAGATGAAAGCCTGTGACTCGCTCAGTGAGCGGGACAGAATGAAGGAGAAACCTTTCCGCCGCTGTCAAATTTGTTGTGATTAAGGTAAACAAGGCATTATGCAGCTCTGCTACACATCTGCAGAGAAAAATCAATCACAGCTTCCATTCCCTGACACTAATTTGATTTGGTCCAATTTGTAAAAACAGGGCTGAGTTTGGCCCGACAGCCAGAACCAGCTGGCAACATATTACACCTTGACTGGTAACTTAATCCTTGATTATTTCCATGATTCCAAGAGTTGTAAAAACTTATATATATAATAGTGTTTTTTAACTGATTTAAGGCATTTTTCTACTGAAAATGTTGGTAAAAATATCAATATTGGAAGTAAGTCAAACAGTTTAATATTAGTTTTTTTACTATGGGCAAAAATAAAATGATTATTATTTATTCAAGTAGTGTTAATATATGTATATATATATAAGGCTATTAAAAACGTTTAAGTGGGCCACACAAAATGACTTGGTGGGCCACATTTGGCCCACGGGCCTTGGGTTTGACACATAATATAAAGGAAAAAATCATATTTAAATAAAAAACAAAAATGCTGTGACTGAAAGGTTTGGAATACAAATTAATTAGGACTATTTTCCTTCCTTTATATTTCCATACAAATAAGTAAATCTATCTTTTTTTTTGTTTTGTTTAAAATAAAGGAAAATCTTTAAATGAACAAATGTTATTCACTTGACTTCACTACATTCATGTCCTCACTTCTTCACTCACTTGAAGGTCATCTGTAAATGTCTGGCGATACACCCTAGTGGTAATGTTCACACCTGTCACCCCACAGATCCGAGACGTATGGACAGACGCCACACAGACACCGACGCAGGTGTAAGAAAAATCTCTTCTCTGACTGGGCCCTTATTAAAAAGCCTCATTTATCTCTGTACAGGATCTAACACAGGGAGCTGAGGGAGAACAGCTGCGGCTGATAAGCTTCATTCCAAACGCTCAGGCACAGACATATGTTCAGACAGTGAGGAGGCCTTGTTCTAGATTACACGTTTCTCCCCTCGGAAATGTCGGTTGTGCTGCATTCCCGTGTGCGTTCTCTGTGAACCTGGACCGTACTCGACGCATGGAAACATGAAGTTTCATTTCATCTCCGGACGTTTTATTTCTGCAGCATGTGATTTAACGGAGGGTCTAAAAACAGGAAACAGACTGGTTTTATGTCTCTTGTGTGGCTGAAATTTAAAATGTGACCCGAAAGCTTCCACACAAAAACAAACTAGGTCTAAGGCGATGCTAACTTCCTTTTTAAGGAAGTCGACCTGTGGGAAGGTGGGAGGATTTTTTTTTTCTTAAAAAAGAGGGCAGACAAAATGAAGTTTTGACCAGGTTTCTGACCTTATTTAAATAGATTATTGAAAAAAATATGATTTAATTAAAAATACATTTCACAAAGAGAAACTTAGAAAGTCAAACCATAATTGACTGAGAGGGTGGATGGATGGATGCATGGATGGATGGATGGATAGATAGATAGATAGATAGATGCAATTATAAGTTTGAAACACAAACTTGAACATGTCCAGTGCATATTCCAGTGGACATGTTCTGCAGTCGTCCTCTTTGGCCTTCTTAAATATACTCACGCCAAGTTTAACTAAATTTGTGTAGTACCCAGGACATCATATGGTACTCAGTATTGGTACACAGACGGTACTTGTATCTATTTAAAAAAAAATATTGTGACAACCGGAGTTGCCACAGTTCCATGTGGTGTTGTTGACGTTTAGTCCAAATGTTTCTGCAGACGCCCCACCAGTCAATCCTCCTGCTCGGCCTCAGGGACGGAAGCAATTAATTATGTTGTCAGAGTTCCTTTTTAAAAAATTTAGAGGAAGACATTAATCAGTGCTTCTTAACATACAACAGGAGCACAGGTGGTGCTCAAGGAAGAGAGGGAGAGAGAGGGGGAGAGACTGAGAGAGAGACCTTTAGATGCAACCTATGCAAATGAGCCTTCCTTAATATGCGTGCAAATTGAAAATGATTTTGGATGGCTGACTGGCTTATCAAGTTTTGACATGGCATAATGTGTTGTTCAGTGTCTTCACCTTGACACCGCGATCACAGGAAACACACTCTCCCATGATGTACACTTGCACACTCTGCACAGCAGCCACAGTGTGAGAGGGAGGGGGAGAGAGGGAGGACTCCCTAACAAAACCTCCCTGATATAATTAGTTTTCTCTGCTGCACCTAATTAACCTTTGTCAGCGTGGCACTTACGCATCATATTCACACGCCGCGCACGCTTTCATTAGCAGCACACTGTGTTTTATATGTGTTTTACCAGTCACAGTGAGGAAGCGCTTTGTTATTTTTAAACTGTTTTTACGGCTCCGTTTGAAGTTGGGAGCTGATGCGCTCGTCGTGGCGGGAGGTGAAGTGGGCTTTTGTTTTGATTAGTTTTAAAGAGGCAGAGCAGTAATGATTGCAGTAATGTTGCACTGTGTGTCAAATCGTGTGGACATGAGGACACGTACACTTGGATGTCCAGCATGATCCTCTTGTCCTCCTCCACGTGTATCCCCCAGATGCAGTCCTGGCCTTTATCGTAGGCTTCGGGCCAGTTGGGGGAGAGGACCACTCCAGCTGAGTCTGTGATCTCACCACTACACACGGCTGGAAAACACAAACAGGAGCATGGAACACTGATGAAAGAGCAAAAGTGATCAGTGAAAGCAAAGCTTCAAATGTCAAACACAGACATTTGTCATGTTAAATATTAATAAACGTATCCACTCTTTAATAAAAACCAGTCTTGGATGATGCGGTCTACAGACCTCTGCATGCAGGCTCCGTCTCGTTCCACTGCGGATTGTCAGGATCCATACATTCAATGGTGACAGATCCCTGTTCCAGGGTGTATCCAGGGTCACAGGCAAACTCCACCACAGCCCCCACTGCCCACGTGTTGTCACTGCTGGTCAGGTTACCGTACTTTACAAACGGCTCGTAGCAGTGGCCTGCTGCAAAGGCTGCAGGAGGAAAAAAAAAACAGTTTGGTTTGGTTTTTATAGCATGAAAGACACAGGTATGAACGTTATTGATTACAAAATAATTAATCATGCTCTTCTCACTGTGGGGGAGATATGGGGGGCGGGGGGGAATTATTATTGGTCCAAGGTAACACAAACTAATTTTGAATATTATTATTTCTCCCAGTTCAGATGTTACAAAGAGGAAGCAAAATCCTGCACTTTAAGATGTGTGACACCTAGAGGTCAAACTCTAGACTCGAACTTTAGGGGTTTTAGCTCCTCACTTTTCAGCCTCACTTTTGAGATTCTGTGTATTATTTTAGTAACTTTAGTAACACAGGGAGGAGTAGGGATCTACAGATTTTGACATTCATGTTGATGATACTGTGAGACTGGTGGTGAAAATTGATGTTACAAAATATGCGACTGAAATGAAAATGCAGTGCAACCATCAGTAAATATAGAAATTTGGAACATTTCATAAAAAAACTGAAACGCTCCACCAAAGAACGAGCGTGACTGAGGTTATCTGTCAACCCCGGTGGAAATGGTTTAGTGGGGACTATCGATATGTTGGAAACAAAGCTAAACAGTGTCGTATCCTGGTAATAGCCCTAATGAGGTCTGGTGGAAGTATGCATGACTGCTCCACTTGGGCATAATCCCATTTGTGTCAGTGGAAAAGCCTAATTAGATTGCACTGATTGTATTTTCAAGTGGTCCCTTCTGGGCCACAGACACTAGTAGCTTATCTGCCGGAGAACGCTGAGACAAATGTGTGAACAATATATAAGATAAGCCTTTAGAGATCTCATCCAGACAAAGTTGCCTGGAAGTTAGCGTTAGATTCTGTTGAACTGATAAAAACGTGTTTTAGCCCAGACTGCCATTCTATTTCCAGCTCAACTTCACTGATACAAAACAACGGCAATAAAAGGGGGAAACGCGTTTAGAGACTGCAAACCTCAGTTTCTCACATCCTTTTTTTGTTTGCAAGGTTAGTACTTGTTTTAATGCAGCCAATCCAATAATTCAATGATGTCTCCTCTGGACCATTACCTCCGTCCCCTGAACTATATTCCCACAGTTTGGCTGTTTAAAGCCAGACAGACAGATAAATAACCAGACAAACACGGCCGCGGACACAACTTCCTCCTCTGAGAAAATAAAAAAAGCAGTAACTTCAAACGGGTATAAAAGCATTTAAATGCAAACATAACATTTATTGCCAAAGTTATCGCCCGCAATAAAAGTAAAACATTTCTTTTGATTATCTAATAAGAATTTCATGTGATTTCTTGCGGCGTCAAATTCCATTTTGAAGTTATAAAAGTTTATAGAGAGCAATGTTTTCACCGCGCCGCTCTCCCATCTCTCCCCTGTTTTTTTCCTCTCTCTTGTTACGTCTTCCTCCCCGGTCTGGTGCGGGATTGCTCGCTCTGGACCAAATTAGAATTTTAAGTCATGCTCGTGGCATGGCTCCAGGGATAACAGTGTGTCTGTGAAATATTTCAACATCTATTGTTTTGACTCATCATGGATTTCTTGTGCAGGATAATGACTCCCTCAAGCTCCCCTCACTTTTCTTCAGGTTTTTACCAAAAGAGTAACTCGGTGCAGAGCGGAAAAACCAGTTAGTACTCAGACAGGACTTTTTATCTAACGGCACAGTTTTAACCAGTGGTTTTTATTCACGTCAATTTGTAACAAGATTTTATATTCATTTATATTTGCTTTTCTATACACAGTGGCATGTTTTAACAAATCTGACATATTCAGTCTGTTTCTCTATTTAAATAATAATAATAAATCCTAGGAAACAAGACAGCTGGAGTGTTTACACCAAAGCTGGTGAAATATGGTTGTAAAAAAAATAAAAAAATGAAGCTTTCATTGCTCGAGTTTTATATTTGATTTAAATTATATTTTCGCAAGAGCTCAATTAAGCTGTGTAAAAGACGAATGTAAAGACGAGCTGCGACGCTTCACTGAGTTTTACTGCAGAGCGTCATCCAAGGTTTAACTCTGTAAACGACAAAAGTACTTTGAACTGTAGGCTGAGACTAGTACTTAAATAGATCCTAATAAAGATATTTAGGGTTACTGCAGTATTTACACAGGACAGGTTTACGGATAAAGTTTACTTTCCGCAAAAATTGGTACACCTTAAGAGGCTTTAACCCAGGGATCACAAACTTAAATTGAGGGCCGTTAGTGAATGATGCTTAATAAATCACAATGAAATTAAATACAAAAAAATGATTACTGACAACTAGTCACGGGTCACATGTGGGAGGTTAGTGGGCCACGACTGGCCCCTGAGCCAGGAGTTTGTGAACCCTGTTTTAAGCTGTACCCCGTAGTATTGCATTTATATGAACCTATATTATATTTACAGTTCAGTTTTCTATACATCAAAAATGGAAAAAAAAAGTTCAGTTACAAAACTGCAGCAATTAGAACCTGGAGGTGTTAAATTATTTAAAAAAAAAAAGTGTATTTAAAGAAAAGGCAATCCCCAGTGGTAAACTTAACTCTGTTCTCCCTTATTTTTTTTTTAAATGGAGTTCATTAGGAACAGCCTCTCCTTGTGTGCAAAGATGTAAAAACATTAAAGGATCATTTGACTCACAACATTTAGCTCTTTAGTGACTTTATACTCTACAAACCTGCCAGAGCTGAAATAAAACAGATTTCTGCAGCTCAGATCGCCTTCATCAACTGCTTTATTACTTTGTAATAATTAAAGGACAAAATCTACCGTTTCAATGCAGCAACACTGACTGTTAAACTGACCTGGAGACAACAAATGTAATCATCTCTGGAACGTCGGGCTTTCATTTGGAATTTCTGCGATTCTGTCCAAAAGTCAACTGTGAAAATCTGAAATGTGTTGTCTTCGGGATAAAGTTGTTTCTTCACAGTTTCCTCCATAAGAAGTCAGACAGATTTACACCAGTCTCTGTAAGCGTTGTGAGAAACGGTGTGAGCAGTTACCTTGGTACCTGAGGGCAACACCGGTAGATGTTCCTGCAGCATCTGTAGTCAGTTCGATGAAGAGATGCCTGGATGAGCTGAGTAAACCCTCGTTTGGCAGATATTCCACCTCGTACGAGTCATAGATCGGAGCAGCGTCGATGCTGTTGCCGTTTTTGATGAGCAGCCTGGAAAAAAGGGAGAAAAAGACACTGCTTTTTTATTTTTCTCTAGTCATTTCTAAAAGATCTGAAGTCGATCTGCTTTAGGTGGAACAAAAACGGGGACCATTAGAAAATCAACTAAAGTCTTTAAGTCGACTCCGTTCACGCTGTGACACGGCAGACCAGGCCGAGCGAGTTAAAAGATATTGGAAAAAGGCGACGTGACCCTGTGGCACCGTGTACAAATGCTGTGGATTTTCCAGAGTGAAAAAGACATTTTCACTTTGCAGATACCAGGAGTACCTGCTGAGATGTTTACTTTGACGGGGTCTCAGTGATCGGTGGGATTACATCACAAAACGTTTCATCACTTATCTGAGTTTATTCTGGGAACAGGAAGGTCCGTTCTTTTATCAAACGATAAGAAACTAGTTTGTCATTTTGTTCAAATGTCTGGTAAATCCTATGAGTCCCTCCTTGCACCCTTTCCTATTTTCTTCCTTCCTTCCTCTTTTGTTCCATCCTTTGATTCTTCCCTCCCTCCTTCTATCCTTCCTTCCTCCCTCCCTAATTTGACAGGCAACTGTTTCTACTATGAATTTCTCTAAGCATTTTTCTGCTTGTTCCATACTTTTCGACAGACTGTCAAACCTTCATCTGATCTGATTAGAAAAAAAAGAAAATTACATTTTATTAAAAAACATTTTAAAATAAATTCAATATTTTAAACCCAGAGAGTTAATGATATTCTACCCGACTGATAAAAATAATAAAAACGGTTTACCTGATTAGATGGAGAATTTGCGTCACTTATACTAATACAGCAGGGCCAACATGGCTGCCTCTGCATCAGCCTCTTTAACAGACTTCATCTGATCTGATTAAAAAAAAAGAAAATTAGATTTAATCAAAAAATGTTTTAAAATAAATAAATTCAATATTTTAAACCCAGAGAGTTAATGATATTCTACCCGACTGATAAAAATAATAAAAACGGTTTACCTGATTAGATGGAGAATTTGCGTCACTTATACTAATACAGCAGGGCCAACATGGCTGCCTCTGCATCAGCCTCTTTAACAGCCGTGGCAAATTTACTGTCTTCAACCCTTCATAACTATTTCCTAATCTTTTCAATTTCCTCAGAGCTGTTGCGACGTTGCTTTATATCTACGTAGCCGCATCGGCAATTGGATGGTGTGCAAAATGGATTATTCAGCTAATTTCCCCCCAGTGGTACTCACCCCCCTCCCCTCTTCTATGACAGCTAGGGCTGCTGGAATGAAGCTCCTGTCAAGGCTTCCAGCTCAGAGACAGTTGCCATTTAAATTGCACAGTAAAAGACTATTTTCCAGCATATTTTCCAGAGCTGTTTTTTTCCCTCCTACTTACTCACCAGCATCTACACTTTTACATTTCCTGTTTAGAACCTGGTCAGGCTGGAGTATAGTGTTGGGTCTTTTAATTGGAGGATTGACACTAGTTTGAATCCCAGCCATGGCAGGAGTACAGTGTGTTGAGCAAGCACCAAAACTGCCCCAGTTAAAAATAAAAAAATTACAATTTCACTTAGTGGATTAATAGAGATCAATATAAATAAAATAAAATCAGTGGATAGTTTTAAATTTTGTCAAAAGTCTTTAAACCTGAATTCTATCCATGTCAAACAAAAACCCAATCTACAGACTCTCTTTTGCGAGAAGAACTCAATTCATCTTATAATAATAATAAATCATATCCATTTTGTTTGCTGTAAACTCCCTGAGCTCATCCTGGATAATTCTGTGTGTACAGTACGATAGCTTCAGCGGGAAACTCTCCTCATGTTCGTTAAACGCCGCTGATTTCAGAGGGAAATGTTCGTGCTAAGCTTCTTTGCTCTGTGATTCATCATAAAGCACATTTCTATGCAAGAAGTGCCGTAATCAGTCAATCAATATTTCAGCCTGCAGGAACCGACTACAGCAAACACACCGACAGGAGGAAATGTATTCAAAGCTCATTGATGCGGCAGGTGAGTCATGAAATCAGTGTTAGCTCATTTATCCCTGTTGTTCAGCCTTAAAATAAACACGTTTATTTCCACTCTCTATCTGGCTGCAACAAGAAGAAATTTAAGAAAAAGTTTAGAACCATGCACATATTAATTAACAAGATTAATGCTACTAAAACGTACAACCCTCCTGCTTATAGGCAATGGCAGAAACAATTTCCACTTTAGGTTTTTTTTCTTTCTTTTTTTTTAAACTGGCCTTAAATTTAACGGGACACTCAATATATAATTCAATAAACCTGCGGATGTCCAAGTGGAACAGCAGCTACAGGTGGTGCTAACTCACTGGTCTCCACCCCATTACCTTCACTAGTGGCCCATAAAGAACAGATTCAACATTATGTCTCCAGGTGAAAGGTCAGCCCCCGACCACGGCAGTCCAACAAGGCTGACAAAGCACACAAACCCCAGGGCTCTGAGCTGAGAGCAGCAGCATTTCTTCCTCAGAACACTAGAATGAACTGCATTGACACACATTTTTTTTCTTTTTTCTTTTAAAGCTTATGCTTTCTGTAAATTAAAATAAGATATTTTGTATTTTTTTCTGCATGAAAAACAATCATCTGACGTCCAAAAGCTTCTAAATTTTAAATCATCCCTAAACTCCGACCATCCTCATGCAGCAGCTGAACATTTGCCTCACCGATCATCGTCCTCGGCCAGTGCAACCTTCTCAAAGTGAATGTGAAGCCTTTGGCCCTCGGGAGCCTCCAGGAGCCAGTGGCAGGTCAGGTTGTTGCTGTAGTTGCTGGGAAAACCAGGAGAAACGATCCGTCCGACTGTGATGTTCCTGATTAAACCACCGCAGGCGGCTGGAAGAGACGGCACAGGAAAAGGAAAGTGGAATTAAAGTCAAGCTATGACAAACTGAACCGAATTAAAGGTGGTAAAAACAAATCTCTGTCACCATCAGATAATATTAGACTTTATATGGGATGAGGGAAATGAGGGAAAACATACACCACAGTGTTTTTTTTTTTTTAAGTTAAACTTGGACAATGTCTATTTTCAGCAGACAGGTGCAGACAAATGAAAAACCCAAACACTGATGCTGATGATGTTTTTCCTGTGGGTTTTCACATATTTGCTCTTAAAACCGTATGTTTACCGGCGACCGACCACAGCCCGACCACAGCCCGACCACAGCCTGCTCAAATACGACTCATCGGAGTGAAAAGCAGAAAACGCTCTGAACCTGGAATCTTGTCTCTTGCCTAACATTCAATGCACATATTTGCCTTGAGCAGTGACTGTTCAGGCTCCCCACTGGATAGATGGCACACTGCATGTCTCTCTCCCCTGTTTGCTCACCTGTTTCCTGAACTCACTCACTATAACTGTTAAAATAAAGAAGAAAAAAATAAAACAAAATGTCTGCGGTGGAGCAGAAATCACCAACAATTTGACAAAAGGACCAGAAAATAA